AACAATAGAGAGGTGATTCTAGCGCTCGGCGGCCGCTGCCGCGGCACGCTTCGCTCGCCTTCGCGCGTTAAGGGTCACTGTTCTAACCTAACCTAACCTACTATTTTCTGCGATACCTACTCTCTGCAACCATACTATTTTCTGCAATCTCTTTGTTTTACATAAAATTCTTGTGAAAACCATGATCATCTGCCTTATGCTTTGATTAGTGGGTAACGGTGGGTAAGTATGTGAAGTGTCAATTTGACCAAACAAATTATTTGGGATATAATATTTGCCAAAATAAAACATTTGCTATATAAACATTTGCCAAGTAAAATTTTGCCAAATGATAATTTGACCAAATGAATTAGTTGCGAAAAGTACAGTTGCTAAAAGTTCATTTGGGAAATGAAACTTTGGCGATAAGTTGTTTGCGAAGTGAAATTTGGCGAAAAGTAATTTGGCCAAACGGAAGGATACCAAAATCTATGGACAAGTTTAAGCAGCGCAATCTAGTCTAGTCTACAGGCCACGGAGGCGTAGCTTTATACACGCCTACGCCTACACGGACAGTAACTTGGCCTTAATAATACTTTCTTAAATACTTTTGTGCTTTGAAAACACTTGAGACTATTAAAAATACATAATATATTCATTTTATTAATTATAAAGAGAACCATTATTACTTTACCAAGGTAATAAAGGTGTCAGTGATGCAACAAAAAATATTACCTTAGGTAGATTGAAATCTCCTGGAACCTTATGCAACTTGGTCATTTGGGGGCTGTCTGGAAATTTCTCAAAGATCCTCAGCCTGAATGGCAAGCTTTCCTTTATTTCTGCACTTTGTTGGCGGTACCTAAGCTGTTTCAACTTCTTTATGTCTTCATCCAATTCCAAATTGTCTAAGATGACTGCTACGAAAAGCGACAGCACGATCTGAAAGTTGGTTTTTACAATAAGTTCGTTCAATGATATTTAGAAGATCTTATATAAATATTCAAAGATTGAAGAATATGTAGTATTCTTACCAATGTCACAAACAAATGGTATAGTATGAAGTAAATGGCGACGAGTGGTGTAAGAGTCTGACTTGTGCGGACCATTGTTTCGTCCATTACCTCCACCCACGCTTCTTGGGTCAAGATTTGGAACATAGACATAAATGCCTGGAAAACAGATTCCAATATTAATCCTACTCTTTTCCAATTGGAATAGAGAATTCCTCTTCTCTGACTTAGATTTCTTACCTCAGGAAAGGTTTCAAACTTTGTGAATTCACATAAAAAGCAGAATAGTTGCATTGATATTGAAGAGCTAATAATAAGCAAGCACATAGTGAATATTATGAGACTGCCGAGCTTTTTCCCAGGACCGAAAATCTTGTATACAAATCCTTCTAACAATGGAGATGCCTTGATTAGTCTCACAATACGTAATACCTGCAAACATATTTTATAGGTTTTATTTAAGTACTATTTAATGTTAAAATAGGCTTACATCATCATTATTATTATCATTTACCTGAAAGTAGGTGAACACAGACATATAAAGTTGAGGAATAATGTGGATTGTAGTCCCAATGGCCAAGAGAAGTTCGAATTTATGGACAGAATGCTTGAAATATCCTTTCAAACCCAAGCACCAAATTTTGATCAGAGCTTCCAAATCCAAAAATATGGTAAATGCAATCTGGAATAATATACACATTTATTTTGTAGTAATGTTTCATTACAAAATGTTATTGCCTAATGATATCCATGAATCTACCTCAATATAGTAATATTTTTCATAGAAGAATTCTCTAGGATGATCATCATGTTTAAAATGCATTGTTGCTGTGATTATTCCATTTGCTAGAACAACACCCATTACTAGCAGTCGAAAGTATGCTGAACGCAACATCTTGTGAAATATTTCTGGGGCACTTCCTGTAAAATATAATCATTAAAGTAAATTATTTTGTAATTACCAATGTTAAACTTGATTTTAAGATTATAATAGCTATTTTTTTACCTGAATGCTTGTTCTCATCAATGGTAACGAGTTTCCAGCCATTGTCATCTCCTGTAAAGAACTGTGTGGTGCTTCCCTTTGTTATTGGGTTCCTTACACCCCACATTTGCTGAAACTGTACCCTAATCTCATTGAAAGTTTCAGTTATTACAGCAATAAACACATTCTTCACCAACCAAGCTAGGAAGAAAATCATTGTGCTGAAAATAAAATATCAATTTAATATTTTTTCCTACTGTATCTCTGTATATATACATAGGTATTAATGGAAATTAAAAAGTATAAATATTAAAAATAAAGATAATAAACCTGAAATAGAGGGCTGATCGCCAGGTGGGCAGAGAATCAATGGCTCTGTACATAATGAACACCCATCCTTCTTGGGAGGAAGCCTGATAGACAGTAAATAGACTTGTTGCTGCAAATAGAAATACCAATTTATTAATAAACACTTATCTATCCTCATTAATACATTTTGAAACACAGAATTACACACATTTTACAGGAACAGGAGAAGAAGTCAATGAGTTGTTATGTAAAAAAGAATACTAACCAAACTCTTCAAATCCATTGAAGCCCATAATATATTTAGATAGTTTCAATTTCATGCATTTCATTCCAGAAGGGCATTGATATCCAGAACCAGGGTCAGGTGAACAAAATGTATCAGGAATGGCCAGAGAATTGATGGTTATATGACTGTAAAAATACATAAAATTAGCACATAAGTAAATTTGATGTAACAGTTATGATAATAATACAAAGATACTTACTCAGGGTCAGTAGTGTTCCTGACACAGTGATGAGTCAATTCTCCAAAGAATTGGACTCCCAACAAACTGTACAAAGACATGAAGAAGAGGAAGAATAGGGTCACATTGTAGATCTGCTGGCTTGATCTCCTGCAAAGCAAAAGTAATATGTGTAGACACTAAAGTATTTATAAGCATTTAGCCATCAATCAACAAATCTATAGCTTATGAATTAGAAGGAAAGTGATAATATAAGAAATAAAACTTACTTGAATATTTGATTAATCCTAGATTTTGGCATGGAGAATTTAAGGAAGACTCTGAGGAAACGGATCATGATCAGTGGTCTTGGGGCCCGCAGTATACTGAGATAGCTGTATCTTGGCACAATTCCAGTCAGTTCAAACATTTGCAACAAAACAGACACCCAAAGGAGGAATACCATAGAAGCATCAAATTGGCACCAGTGATCTTTTAGGTATGCTACATCACCCTGCAAACAACGTTTAAATAAGAAATCACACTTCTGGGTAAATTAAACCTTTAAATTAGACCTCATGTACCTACACTTAGTGAGCAAATAAATTAATATGAATATGAATATATCGCATTTTTAAAGACCACATAAATTTTAATATACTTATGTATCTGTTAATGTAATATTTACCTTCAAGATGCCTCTGATGTGCATTTTTGCAATCATTTCTGCTGTAAACAAGAGAGTAACACAGCAGTCCACAGCAAAAGTTACTGTTTGAAGATAGGGGTATTTTTCGAAAGATTTTGGTGTATTCAGAGAAACAGACAACAAACTTAGCAGAGCACATGATCTTAATATCCTTCTGACCCATAACTGTAATAGATAAACAATATTAAGTCAACATTTTACTAGACACTTTATAAATAAGCGCAGTAGATGTTTTTCATTTCATTGCTTACCTTATTTACCCATTCTATGTCGGCACTTTCATTTAATGACTCCTCGGGCCCATAATCCGCTAAAACTGGTTCCCCTTTCAAGCTCTGCTTCCTCCCCAACATTTTTATGCGTTTGAAGATAATTTTTGAAACTAATATAGTCAGCCGCAGCAATAAATTGGTATCTTATGTTTCGTCGAATGTTGTTGTTCTATGCTTACAGCGAGAGGCATTATCTTTTACAGCAGGAATTAAACTAATTCACAAGGAAAAAACAAGGCACGAATTCAAACTTTTAAAATAAAAACTTGGGAAATGTTCGGGAAATACGAAAACCCAGCCCATATCACTTGATGTCAATTGTTTGTCAATTTTGACATTGACTTTTTATTTTTTCGACCAAAAAACAAATATAGATGACCCTAGAGATGGGTTTCCACCCGGGTAAAAACCCACATGAGGGTAAAAACCCAATAAAAACCCGTTTCATTCCACCCGTGGGTGTTTACACCGGGTGAAAACAAATAATTTTATAATTATTTCAATTGGTATCTTTTCTTTATTTTTATTGAATTTTTCTCATTTAAGTTTATTGATTAATAAGTAATAAGTCTAANGGGTTTTTGTTTTAACCCAATCGGGTGAAATGGGTTTTTACCCACTACCCATCTCTAGATGACCCACGCTGAACTGTCCCACCAAACTCAATGACAGGGGGGCGCTAGGCGCTACCATCGTTCAACTATATGGTTTCCAACATGGCAAAAATCTGAACCAGCGATCCGGTATTGACGGTGGCGCCCCACTGTCAATGTCATCGACAGGACAGTCCAGTATTTTGGAACTATAATCAAACTGGATTTTTAACTTTTTTATGCATTATAATTTATTGATCGACTGATTGACACGATGATGATACGATTCCACAAATTCATACTTTAGTAAGTTCTTTTTCTTGGCTTTCGGAGTCTGAATGGTGGCAATGCACTAGAAAGTGTGGCGATTTCAAAATCTTTCACTGAAATGGCAAAAAAGTTACATTTGAAAAAAGTGGATTTTTTTCATAAAATTCATTTTTTTTTTTAAATAAACCGCTCTTTCCTAGTGCCGCCTTTTCGTAGAGAGATAATTTTATTGGTTAGAATTACTGTTAGACTAGCGAGAGTGTAGCGCATAGCGAAGTGAGCTCTAATGAGCTAGAGTGAGCTAGTAGAACTCTTATTTTAAAATGTGGCAACATTTTCATAAAAAAAAAATAGTTACCATGGCAACAAAACTGACAACAACATGACATGACAACCGACTAATATATTAAATAGTTATCTGTGATGACAACAAACAGAAACGCAGAAATGTTGGATAAAAATAATTCTAGCGTTTAAATTAAGAGAAAAGTGCAGAATTTATAATCTTAACATATAAAACCAGTTTTAAGACTTACTTTAATTGATAGTTTCATAAAAAAATCACAATGTTTATTTACATGAGTAAAAAGGTTAGAAATACGTTCGCTTTTTAATCAAGCTATAGTTTTATGTTAATTAGAATCATAACTTTTATATCATTAACTAATTTTCAGATTGCTATACCAAAGCAGTCAAACGTAACATGTATTGCATGGAACCATTCATCTGGGTATATTGCTGTTGGTGGCGAGGAAGGAATGCTGAAAGTTCTCAAGTTAGAATCCGGTAAGAACTTATGTATACTTTGCTAGTCAATACTTAGTATTACTTAGTGCTTACTTGGCCAGGCTGCAAACGCGGACGCAGCGCGTTGCACTCAAATATATGAAATCTTATTCGAGTATCCATACTGGCACCTGCGTGCGTTTCAACGCCCTGCGCCCGAGTTTGCAGTCTGGCCAAGCACTATGTCACACTTACTCATATATATTTTTAATTGTATACAGGTGGAGGAGGCAATCTTTCAATGAATATTAGTTTGGAGGGTCACACTGGCCAACTATGTGTTGCTGTGTGGAATGAAGTTTTTCAAAAGTTAACAACTAGTGATGAACATGGTGTCATTATAGTGTGGATGCTGTATAAGGTAAATTAAAAATTGTATGAAAAAACACATGTCTTAAAACAACAAATAAATGATCTTTACTATTTTATTTTTATTTTTTAGGGGTCGTGGTATGAAGAAATGATAAATAATAGGAATAAGTCTACTGTAGCAGGCATGGCTTGGGGCTCTGATGGACAAAAGATCTGTATAGCGTATGAGGATGGTAATAAAACAAAAGGTAAAGAAATCGATAGAGTTAATAATACAGGGTGATTCTGGATGAAGTGCATAGACAAAAAGGGTTGGTTCTACTGTTTCAATACAACAACTTGTTTTAATCAGGGACTATCAAACTCTCACACAAACTAGTTCTAATTGCATATTAGTGCCAATCATCTAATTAACTTATAAATTATCTTAAAGATGGCACACAATGTATGTATTAAAATAGTTGTTGCATTTTAAATAGAATCAATTTATCACATTTGTTTGTACACTTTATGCAGGATCACCCTGTATATTCAGAATATAAATGTGGCTTTTATGTTTTATAATAGGTGCTGTTATTGTTGGATCTGTGGATGGATCTCGAGTTTGGGGTAAAGATATCAAAGGGCCAGGCTTATCAGCTGTACAGTGGTCTCCAGACAACTCCTTGCTGCTTTTTGCTTTAGCTAATGGAGAATTGCATTTATATGATGACCAAGGGAATTTCACAGTGAGTATGAAAATTCAAAACTGTAACAAAACTTTTTTTATTTAAAATATGGTGTAACAGATTTTTTTTTCAGATGCCAGTTGCAATTCATGGTGTATCAGAATCAATGGAAGTTGTTTCAATGGATTGGTTCTCAGGCAGTGCACCAACTACCAGGCCTGTATTGGCTATATGTTACAGAAATGGTGTAATCATTCTAATGAAGAATTGCATAGAAGAAGGTCAGTAACTGCCCCATAATTTACCTGACCTTTGAATTGTTATACAGTTATGGTAATGTTTTACTAGTTTGTTCTTCTGTTATCTAATAATATCATTATCTTCAATTTTTAGATAGTGTAGTAGTGGAAACTAATATGACGGCAATTGATTGCCACTGGAACCACAATGGAACTATTCTAGCTGCTGCGGGATGCACAAATGACCAGACCAATGTGGTTCAGTTCTTCAATCCCTATGGAGAAGTAAGTGATATATGTAGTTATTTTGTTACATTTTATTAAAATGTGAATTGATTGAGAGTCTAGTTAATGAACCATTTTCTCAATTTGGCAAACTTAAAAACAACATTTTCAAATTAGTTTTTGTCTAGGTATCTCATGAGAGTCAAACACAAACAAAATAACCATATCTGGATATCTCATCGCAGTCATAGCACAAATTTTAATATGTAGTTCCTTTTTTTGACACCATGGTAATTGGCGCTTTCCACTTTCCTGGAAAATGATGCAACAAAGTGGTTATCAGTTATATTATTTATTTATTTACAGCATATAAGAACTCTACGAGTGCCTGGGGGTTCAATGCGTGCGTTATCGTGGGAGAAACGCTCATTGCGATTAGCCATTGCTATCGATTCCTTTATATACTTTGCCAATGTGAAGCCAGATCACAAGTACGCATTTTACGGAAATACATTAGCTTACGTGTCTGGTAATGAAACAGTTACATTCTGGGATACTTCCACTCATCAGGTGAGATTATGTACTTAATTTAGTATTTTGCCTAGGTGCAGACCAGTGATTTTTAGTCGGCCGATAGTTGGGCCCGATTCTAACTTCTAATGATCAATCGGTGTAATGTGCGCACTTCCATATATGCCCATTCTAAACTAAACTAAACTAAACCCGACTAAACTATCGGCTGACATAAAGTTTGCAGTCTGCGCCTTATTTTATTATGAGCTTAGCAGATCTTAAATAACTTAATTTAACATTTCCAGTCATGGATCAATCACATACCTGAGGTAATGGACATGTGTGGAGTTGGTGAATACTGTATTATTGCAACTATGAGCTCCCTTATAATTTCCAATCAGCAAGGAATTCAATGTGATGGTGAGCTTCTAAAAGAAGAACGGTCACGCCCCATACAAAAAATACCCAGACCCGACAGAAACGAGACATACCTCAGTTTTTTTGTCATGTCTTAATTAGTTAAATTATATATTTTTTATATTCGAAATCTATGTATAACACCAAAATATTACCCTTTGTTTTTGTTCAGGCGTTATACAAAAACTAATACAAAATGCCTATTTATCACCAAAATTGGTAAATGTATGTACCTAAATGTCTATTACAGCTGCTATGGAATGTATCTAGGTGACCTGGAGATACAGCCGGATTATACAGGGTGGTTATACATATGGAACGATAAGTGATCTCACTCAATTATTTCTAAACTATACAAGATATCGAAAAACTAGTTACTGATTCTGAAAGTGCTTTACGAGATCTTTCAAATGGTACCAATAATAGGTTACAGATTATGGAAGCTGGTAACATTGAATTTTTGGATTTTGTAACTTCTCGTTTCCACCCTGTATAATCCGGCTGTATCTCCAGGTCACCTAGATACATTCCATAGCAGCTGTAATAGACATTTAGTTACATACATTTACCAATTTTGGTAATAAATAGGCATTTTGTATTAGTATTTGTATAACGCCTGAACAAAAACAAAGGGTAATATTTTGGTGTTATACATAGATTTCGAATATAAAAAATATATAATTTAACTAATTAAGACATGACAAAAAAACTGAGGTATGTCTCGTTTCTGTCGGGCCTGGGTCACAGATGACCGTTCTTCTTTCATTAAAATTGTGCTTTATATGCTGTACTTTGTAGAGTTTTTATTACAAGTAATTTATTCCCATGATTTTAGCTAAAACAGTATCGATACCTGTTTTATACGTGGCGATTAATAGCAAAGCTGTAGCAGTCGCAGCGTCGAAAGAATCATTTATTGTTTGGAAGTTTTCGACACCATTAAGACCAAGTAAGTAAAATAGAAATTAGAACCAATAAAATTCAGGATGCTTTTCCTGTCACGCCGATTCACCCTTATCTGATGATGCCCGTATTCACAAACATTACTATGAGGTCTCACAGTGCGCGTGGACGCACAGGGTGACACACGAACCAATAACAGAGCTCTATTCAACTCAGTGCGGTCGATTTGCTGCTTCACTTAAGCAAGCGTCGTTTGTGAATAGGTACGGGCGACAGAGTCAAACAATCAAATACCTGTCCTCTAATGATTCGTTTTCTTGTCAAATAATAACAGGGAGCACAGAACAGTTGTACCAAGCCGACGGGTCCCCATTAACCTCGGGCGACGCTGGGTTCCAAGACGATACCATCTGCTGCATCACATGCTCCGACAGCCATCTTCTAGTTGGGAGGGACTCGGGAAATATCCTGCTTTTCTCCCTTGTCAACTTTAAGAAAATCACGTCCATCAATATGAATTCAAAGCCCTACAAACTAGGTCTCAACTCTAATTCCAGGTTAGTGTGTGCATTGTTTAATTGCTATGGATTTAGACCTGATATTTTACACTATAGGAACTGAGTAGAAGAGTCAGTAGAAGAAACGAAGAAATAAATAGTTTTTAACGCATCATTTTTTCACGATGCCCGAGATACAAAAAACGTGGCAAAAAAGAGTGCTTAAATGTTTTTTTTAAATAAATTTTAAATAAACTATTTGAAAAAATCGAACTAGGCTGTTCGATTCGGTGGTTTCGAATCCGCGTTCCCCGGATCACGAGTCGGCCAGCCCGACCCCTTTCCGTTCGGCTATCGTGGTTTCAATTATTGGAATTAAAGTTCTTTCTTCATGCGCCTTTCCAGCAAATTCTACGTAATCGACCAGCCGGGTAGCCTGTATATCCTGGACACGGATATGGCGAACAACATCAGCGTGGGACAGGCGCTGCGCCGCGACGTGTGGAGCGCGCGCTGGGCCGCCGACAACCCACAGATGCTCGCCGTCGCCGAGAAGGCGCGCCTCTACGTGCTGCGCGACGCCGAGCCCGAGGAGCCGCTCGCTATGCAGGGCTACCTGTGCAAGTTCCGGGTGAGTGTAGGACACTAGCGTCTTTCAAGCGATTGCTAGTGGCTGCCGAACGACCGTAACGCTACGCAGCGCTGGCGTCGAGTCCGCGCGGCGACAACGCAACGTATTTTTCAGTCTGGGACAAGCTCTACGTGCTGCGCTACGCCGAGCCGCTTGCTATGCAGGGCTACCTCTGCAAGTTCCGAGTGAGTGTTGAGCCGGGTTGCCAACGCGTGTTTTGCCTCACACAATCAACAAAACCATCTCAACATTTTTTCTAGGCAATTTTGTTGAATGTTGACATTTTTTTTTTTTTTTATTTATTTATTATTCATTATTGAGCAATTACATATTTGATCCAAATAGCGTCCTAAATCCTTTTTATGTTTGTCTAGACACTATTGTTATTAAAACAAACGTTTTAGTATAAGCATTCACAACACTTTCAGATATACAAAATATTATTTTAGCGAGTGCGCACTACGATGACGAAAGACTCGACGTTAGATCGCGATCGCAGACCGGTTGGGTACATGTTTTTGTTGATTGTTTAGGCAAAACACTTGCTGTAGACCCGGCTTTAGGGATGCACTATTTATTTATTTATCTTTATTAAAGAAATATAGAGCCTTGATCGATACATGCTAGCGTGTTTCGAGCGATCGCCAGTAGCCGCGAAGCCATTACTCAGCGACTGACGTACGCCCGGATATATGCAGCGCTGGCGTCGCGTCCGCGCGAGCAATGAGTAAACAATTCATAACTGCGGCTTTTTTCAGGAATTGGAGATTACAATGGCACTCTTAGATAATATCACCGATAAATGCACACCTCAACACATTGTACGAGTGGAAGTGAAATCCTTGCGTGACACTCGCCAACTGATCGAAAAAGTCGGCCTCAAAGAAGCGGAGAATTTTATAAAGGATAACCCACACCCACAGTTATGGTAAACTGCATAAATTCAATACAAAAAAGCTTTATTTTTTAAGTTAATTAATTGACACCTTTCCTTTATTTAAAAAAAATACATAAGCACCATAAAATTATTGCAAATTTTCAGGCTTTTGTTAGCTGAAGCCGCGTTGAAAGACTTTGAATCTGAGAATGCTCTGGAAACGGCAGAGGCGGCTTTCGTCCGGCGCAACGACTACGCCGGAATCCGGTTCGTGGCGCGTTTGAACGCGCTGCACTCTAACGCACTTAAGAAAGCTGAGATACTCGCTTACTTCAAAGATTTTGACGCCGCTGAAAAGATATACCACAACGAAGACAGGCGGTGAGATCCTAATCATTAAATTCCCTACATTGTTGACATTCCACCAGCTCGCACTAAGCGTTTCGATGACTCTTTTATAATGCGAACAGCTAGGGACTGGAATACGCTGCCTGCTGCTGTCTTTCCTGAACACTATAATCCGGGCCTTTTCAAGGCGAGAGTGAATAGGCATTTACAGGGCAGATATGTACCATCCTAGACTGCATATTTTTACTTAACACCAGGTACGATTGCGGTCAAATTGTCCTGCACAAAAAAAATCTTGAATCCATTTATCTAAGTAGTATCTAAGAATCATCAGCAGTTTGTATAAAATATGATGGCGACTTATGACAGTGGGGGCCCTCTTTTCGAATTCTGATTCTTAAAGAAAACCTATACCTACAAGATTAACGTTTTTATCCGTCAGTGACTTAGCCATAGCGCTGCGGAAGCGCCTAGGCCACTGGTTCCGCGTGGTAGAGCTGCTGAAGATGTCTGCGAGCACCACCGACGCGCAGGTCAAGCAGACCTACTGCAACATCGCCGACTATTACATCGACAGGCAGAACTGGTAAGGAACACCCTAGCATCTTCGAGCGTCGTCGTCTTGCCATACGTCTACGCAGCGCGGGCGTCGCGTCGTCCACTTTCACAGATTATACCCGAACCGTGTATTACCCGACCCCTACTGGTGGGATCGGGAAAAATTTTATTAAATCAAATCATTATTATTTGCGAACATGGGTTTACATACAGTAGTTTTTACAAGTTTTTAAACTTAGTATCTACTGTCGATAGACAAACTTTTTTCCGATGTCTTCCAGTGGACGACAAATGGTGGTAGACAACGTGGAAAATGGACGATCCGACGCCAGAGATATGTGCAGACGCTATAAAGACACGACGCTCGAAAGACTATCCCTAAATATACTTTTTTTCTACTACCGGTATGTATTTTAAGAGATGAAAAAGGCATATACTCTACTGTGAATCGGAGACTCTTTTTTTCGCTTAGTGAAGAATACATTACTTTTACTGCATTTATTCCTAATTTAGTACAATAATCGATTGAAATTTTTATTACTTAATTATTATAATTATTATTTTGTATGCAGGGCTGGTGCTCTCGAATACTACACGTTGTCAAACAACACGGAAGGGCTTAAGAAATGTTACATGGCTTTAGAGGACAATGAATCGCTGGCTAAGCTATTCACCGGAACATCAAAACCGACAAAGGTATAAAGTTGTTGTTTGTGTTACAAAAAGCTTCGACTCTAAAAGATTAAAAAGTTCGGTGGAGTCCAGCGGTGTACCTCTCGTACCTAAAAGAAGTCTTTTATTTGTTTAAAGGAAGGACCAATAAAGCAAAGCATTTTGGATGACATAAGCGAGGGCGTGAATCAGATTCCCTCAATTCAAAGCATATCGCAGTTGCGTGAGTCCGGTCGAATGTTACAGGCTGCTGCCATGGCTTTTCAGGTTCTTTTTCATTTTAAAGTTTTTTTTTATATTAATTACCTGCTTATTTAATTTATAATTTTATTGTTTTTTTTTTTCAGTTAGCTGGGATAGAAGCATCGAATAAAGTTTCACCATTACGAGTAAAGAAATTATACATTCTAGCTGGACATCTTTATAGCCAAAATTCTGTTGGTACGTACTTTATCTAAGTAAGCAAGTCTATGGTTATATATTTAGTGTGGGGGGAGACGCCTGGAAATGACGATAATCGATTACGTGGTCGACAAAAAGTGTGCAGTCTACGGGTATTACTGCCACTAGCGAGTGATAGGACTTTTTAAAGTCGTCTTGCCGTTTCAGAGAGCTCACCAGTTTACGCCACTATCTCGAGTCTAAGTCCTCGAGGTGGTGTGGAAATAAGTTCTTTGTCAAAAAGCATACTTTGCGGCACTCCTACGTCTAAGCTATTGATTTCACAAAAATATTATGTAGGTAGATATCAAAAATAGGAAAATTTCTCTAGTTTTAGTTTCCCTAACCTCTCATCTGGCACGTGTTCGCGCGCTAGATGACCTACACTGAACTGTCCCACCAAACTCATTGACAGGGGGGCGCCACCATCGTTCAACTATATAGTTTCCAACATGGCAAAAATCGGACCAGCGAATCCGGTATTGACGGTGGCGACCCCTGTCACCGTCACGGGTGGGACAGTTCAGTGTATTGGGTGTTTATTCCTGCAGACGGCGCAAAAAGCCGCGAGGCCGTGCGTTGCTTCCGCGCGGGCGCTGCGCAGCACTGGCTGTGGCTGGCGAGCGCGCGCGCCGCCGCCCGGCCGCCGCGCCCCGACGCCGCGCTGCGCGCCGCCGCCCGCCTGCACGCCGCCGCGCCCGACCTGCACCCCGCGCAGAGCACGCAGGTGTGTCTCAGTGTAAAGCCTGCTCCTACGCCTGGTCGCGTAATTATGTTGCTGTCGCGCTCGCACACTCACTGCGGGCGCCCGTCGCACAGTCGCGATAGGGCTGGGTAACTTGGGGTCATTGGACGGGATTCTACGTGGACCAGGCTTTAGCCGCGAGGCTGGCGTTGATTCCGCGCCCCGACGCCGCGCTGCGCGCCGTCGCCCGCCTGCACGCCGCCGCACCCGACCTGCACCCCGCGCAGAGCCCGCAGGTATGTCTCAGTGTAAAGCCTGGTCCGTGAGCACGTAGAATCCCGTCCAATGACCCCAAGCTACCCATCCCTATCGCTCGCGCGTAATTATATTGCTGTCGCGCTCGCACACTCACTGCGGGCGCCCGTCGCACAGTCGCACCTCACGGACCAGGCTTTAGCCGCGAGGCTGGCGCTGCTTCCTTGGCTGACTTGCGCGCGCGCCGCCGCCCGCCTGCACGCCGCCGCGCCCGACCTGCACGCCGCGCAGTGCCCGCAGGTGTGTCTCAGTGTAAAGCCTGCTCCGTGAGCACGTAGAATCCCGTCCAATGACCCCAAGCTACCCATCCCTATCGCTCGCGCGTAATTATGTTGCTGTCACGCTCGCACACTCACTGCGGGCACCCGTCGCACAGCCGCGACTGCAATATAATTACGCGCGAGCGATAAGGATGGGTAGCTTAGGGTCATTGGACGGGATTCTACGTGCTCACGGACCAGGTTTTAGCCGCGAGGCTGGCGCTGCTTCCGCGCAGCACTGACTGTGGCTGGCTTGCGCGCGCGCCGCCGCCCGCCTGCACGCCGCCGCGCCTGACCTGCACGCCGCGCAAAGCACGCAGGTATGTCTCACTTCTGTCACGGTAATACTATCTATACAGTATTCCAACTCGGCCATATTTTTGAAATAAATGTCAACAGCCCCGCGGTACGTCACGGTATGACAATATGCGATAGGGCTGCTCACCTACCTACCAGTACCCATTCTAATTACATCTGTCTAAAGCCTGGTCCGTGAGCACGTAGAATCCCGTCCAATGACCCCAAGCTACCCATCCTTATCGCTCGCGCGTAATTATATTGCTGTCGCGACTGTGCGACGGGTAGTGAGTGTGCGAGCGTGACAGCAACATGCAGGCTTTAGCCGCGAGGCTGGCGCTGCTTCCGCGCGGGCGCGGCGCAGCACTGGCTGTGGCTGGCTTGCGCGCGCGCCGCCGCCCGCCTGCACGCCGCCGCGCCCGACCTGCACCCCGCGCAGAGCCCGCAGGTATGTCTCAGTGTAAAGCCTGCTCCGTGAGCACGTAGAATCCCGTCCAATGACCCATCCTTAGATATCGCTCGCGCGTAATGAGGGCTATCGTTTTTATACTTAACAGTTGACACCCCTGGCGATTGACAGGACTTTACTCTACAGTGGCGCCATCTTGATGAGTGCAATTGCGATAGTCCTCCTACCACTTTAGCGCTCACCAGTTGGTGCCACTGTCTTCGCTACTAGCAAGTGACAGGACCTTACTCTACAGTGGCGCTAACTGGTGAGCGCTAAAACGATAGCCCTCATTATATTGCTGTCGCGACTGTGCGACGGGCGCCCGCAGTGAGTATGCGAGCGCAACAGCAACATAATTACGCGCGAGCGATAGGGCTGGGTAGCTTGGGGTCATTGGTCGGGATTCTACGTGCTCACGGAGCAGGCTTTAGCCGCGAGGCTGGCGCTGCTTCCTTGGCTGGCTTGCGCGCGCGCCGCCGCCCGCCTGCACGCCGCCGCGCCCGACCTGCACCCCGCGCAGAGCACGCAGGTGTGTCTCAGTGTAAAGCCTGGTCGCGTAATTATGTTGCTGTCGCGCTCGCACACTCACTGCGGGCGCCCGTCGCACAGTCGCGACAGCAATATAATTACGCGCGAGCGATAGGGCTGGGTAGCTTGGGGTCATTGGACGGGATTCTACGTGCTCACGGACCAGGCTTTAGCCGCGAGGCCGTGCGCTGCTTCCGCGCGGGCGCGGCGCAGCACGGGCTGTGGCTGGCGTGCGCGCGCGCCGCCGCCCGCCTGCACGCCGCGCAGAGCACGCAGGTATGTCTCAGTATAAAGCCTGCTCCGTGAGCACGTAGAATCCCGTCCAATGACCCCAAGCTACCCATCCTTATCGCTCGTGCGTAATTATATTGCTGTCGCGACTGTGCGACGGGCGCCCACATTGAGTGTGCGAGCGCGACAGCAACATAATTACGCGCGAGCGATAGGGATGGGTAGCTTGGGGACATTGGACGGGATTCTACATGCTCACGGACCAGGCTTTAGCCGCGGTCTATTCCACTTTGATCACCTGGCTTTGATGACCCAGGTGATCAAAGTCCACTTCCAGCGACAAATTAGTGTCCTTTGATCACCCACGGATATGTGCCCTGGGTGATCAAAGTGGACTCCAGTTAAATTATTATTTTAGTGTCCTTTGATCACCTACATACAAATCACACCTCACCTGAATAGACACGGTAAGTACTAACATTTTCTTAATATAGACAATTTTTTTAACAGTTTTTACAGTTTACATTTTTTTTTTATATTTTAAAGCGTTAGTACTTACCTAAACAATGTTTGTCCGTACATTAAGTATAAGAGGAGGTGTGATTTGTATGTAGGTGATCAAAGGACACTAAAATAATAATTTAACTGGAGTCCACTTTGATCACCCAGGGCATCATATCCGTGGGTGATCAAAGGACACAAAATTGTCGCTGGAAGTGGACTTTGATCACCTGGGTCATCAAAGCCAGGTGATCAAAGTGGAATAGACCTTAGCCGCGAGGCTGGCGCTGCTTCCTTGGCTGGCTTGCGCGCGCGCCGCCGCCCGCCTGCACGCCGCCGCGCCCGATCTGCACGCCGCGCAGTGCACGCAAGTGTGTCTCAGTGTTCATCATCATTTCAGCCATAGGACGTCCACTGCTAAACATAGGCCTCCCCCAATGATTTCCACAATGGCCGGTTGGTGGCGGCGTGCATCCAGCGCCTTCCCGCTACCTTTATGAGTGTCATCCACTTTGTGGGTGGACGTCCTACGCTGCGCTTTCCGGTACGTGGCCTCCATTCCAGAACCTTGCTGCCCCATCGGCCGTCAGTTCTGCGTACCTACTATATGCCCTGCCTATTGCCATTTCAGCTTACTAATCCGTTGGGCTATGTCTTTAGATCGTTTACGGATCTCTTCATACCTCAGTGTTATTCAACAGTGTTTTATAACGTAGCTAATTTGAACTCTACTACAACACAACATGACTTCCTCTTCCCCCAGCCCGTGTCTACGCACATTATAAATTAAAAATTCTATTCTTAGTCATACTACAATTAGCTGAAGGCCAGCAATGATAGTCTTACGCTTATGTACTTGTAGGTACTAGAGTGATTTGGTAAGTTAAAGAACTAACCCATTGTATGTTAATATAAAGATTTCCTCTCCTTGGAATAAATAGACAAATGGCTGAGGTGAAGTTATCCTTATGATTAATAAATAATCATCATAGGTATTGATCGGTAGGCACTAAGATTAATTTTAAACTTGAGTATTATTTTCAGGTCTGGTGCACTATAGCGTATATAGCGTTCCAAGCAAGAGCATTCGATTTATGCTCAAAGGCGTTTGTGAAACTTGAAGCACTTGATGTAAGTTTATTTAGAAATTAGTCATATCAATCAATATCATTAAAATCATCAAATAAATTATCTAAACTTCTACGTTTTTTTCCAGCCGGATACATTCGAACCTCTCGCGATAGAAATATTCACGAGATTCAAGCCTAAAGACGCGAAAGGAAATAAAATAGATTGTCCTAATTGTCAAGTTGCTATGCCTGAATGGTAAGACAACCTACTTATGATTGCTAAAATCTATTTATTTATATAGTTTCTTACTACAAGAAAATAATTAAGTTAGTTATTAGACAGAAACCATTCAGAACAAAGCTCAAAACTTAAGTAGATTCAATTGCAAGCTTGAGAAGATTGAGGTTTTTTCGGTTGAACTTCAATATTTTAATTTAGACCAACCAACACTTGATTCAATGCAGGTACTGTACATTGAATCGAGTTTTGAGCTTGTATTTTTGAATTTCTGTCACGTAATCGGGCATAGGCCAGGGCCCCGATTGCGGTAAAAAATTTCAACTGCAACGCGACTGGACCACGAAGAAAAATCTGCCGTTTGAACAAATCTGGCCACTTTCTCCTTCCCCCACCCATGCATCGCCCAAACTTCGGTGGGCGATCTAGCGCTTCGTCTCGGTTAATTTTCCGCATAGTGTACTTGCGCCATTAAGTGAACGTTGTAACGTGGTATGTGGTCTCAGCTGTTCCAACCTGACGGGTGTTCGGTCGCCAGTTGCAACAGCATCCTGGCTTCTCCTATGTCTGAGGAGGCATGAGCCTTATACTATGTTTTCCTAGCTTTTTATATCCAATTTTAGATATTAAGACACAAATACATTGTACCTAAAGCTTGTATAAATGACCTACACTGAACTGTCCCACCAAACTCATTGACAGAGGGGCGCCACCATCGTTCAACTTTATAGATTTCAAGATGGCAAAAATCGGAACCAGCGATCCGGTATTGACGGTAGCGCCCCCCTTTCAATGTCACGGGTTCAGGGACAGTTCAGTATATTGTGTCCTTATCTAATGGAGCGACATTGTCATCATGACAAAGCTCCTTTAAATAAAGAGTAAAAAAAGTGTGACGTGGTTTCGTTCGCAGGATGGCGTCGTGCCCGGCGTGCGGCGGCGCGCTGGCGGGCTGCGTGGTGTCGGCGCGCGCGCTGGGCGGCGCGCACACGGCCTGGGCGTGCGCCGTGTGCGCCGCGCGCGCGCACCGCCACGAGCTCGTGCTGCGCCACTCGTGCCCCATGTGCCACGTGCAGCTCGACTGACTACACTCAACTTTAGATCAGCGTTTATTTGCCTTTTTTGTCCATGGACTACTTAGGAAATCGAGCACAATTTTAAGGAATATTATTGTAAAAAAGCAGCAATAAATTTTGGTTTTACGAGGCTTGGTGGCATTTATTTAGCCTAGGCACAGACCATCGATTTTTCGTCGGCCGATAGTTTAGTCGGGCAGTCGCTATTGGTCCAATTCGTAATTGGTCCAAAATGAAAGAAATAAGGAGGTTATTCAACTTTTACTACTACATATTGCAGAAAAAAGCGAATTGGTCCAATTACAAATTGGAGTTCTGAAATACAGGAATTTCCCAGTTTTGGCTCCAGTCCTCTCAAATATGTGTTTACTTACCTTCATTTTAAACATAACTTACTGTGCAATGTAATGTAGTGAACATGTAATGGTTTTTGAAAGAGGGACATGTTTGGGTACATCGTTTTGTGCTACACCACTGATATTCATCAGCTCATTAAATAGTTGGAAGAACGGATCCACAGATGTACTAATTCCTACCTACCAATAAAATTGTCACTAAGTGAATTGAAAATCACCAACAATATTTATAAAATAAATATCTGTATATTAATTATTACATTGTTTTTATTTGTTTTCTCTCCTACAAGGCAAGTTTTAGGAGCACGGGCCAAAGCCAAATGCATCCTAGTTACTTTAGTTTCATCAATGTTCAAAAACTTTCTGACTATCCTGCAAGGTGCGTAGGCGTATAACTGTTTAGGGATGACTCCCATGGTGAAGATTACAATTGGAACTGCTAAGACTGGTTATGCACCATTGTCCTGTATTGAAAGGTCTCTGTACTTAGCTAATTTTTCAGTGTGTTTTTATAATAAGCTCTGTTATTATTATTCTGTGAAATTGAAATTACTGTGCTCTTATTTTACTGTTGATGTAAAAAATTCTCAAATCTCCCTCCAGTAGAGGTCACAATACATTAAGAAGTGCTGTAAAGTTTGATCCTTATACTTTCGCAGTTATAATCAGTTTCAAAAAAAGAGAACACTCCATTATGGATAACTGTCATAATAAAAGCCTTTGTTTAATGCTATTAAATATTTTATTGAAGGTTTCACAAAAGAACAAGTTCCTGAAGTATTACAGAGTTGAATTGCCGCCTGACTAGATATTCTCTTTTTACAAGCTTCTATTTAGGTTTTGATTGTGTAATTAACTGAAATTTTATTTTATAAATTTTAAACTAGTGCTGTTTATTTGTACTTAAAATAATAATGTTAAGGAAAATGGACTTTTCATTTAGTGAAACTTGATTGAAAGTAATGCTTTTATATGGATTTGCTCACACCAGTGCAATTAAATGCAAAATACTAAACTAAAATCCAACAAACTAAAGATTTTTCACTTTTCACATCATTTACACATCCCTCATATTTTAACAGAAAATACATTGTTAAATATAATATTACGATTTAGTATTATTGCACAAAATTGTTTGGCATGTCTAATTTGGAGAACTGTAAAGTATTGTCAATTATTTGAAATAGTTCCGGAGGCTGAGGAATCCTTCCAGTCTCCAACTTTGACCAAAGTGGTATGTTGTTCAGTGATATTTCAAATGCTCCAGATGATACTAATTGGCCCTCGATCATATTCGCCAAAAAGAACATCATCATGCAGGCATACAACTTGTTCTCCAAACACCAGCTCCACCATGAAGGCTGAGGCTTGTTCAACCATGCAAATATGTTCACGCCGCTTAGTATGCACATAATTAATAGCATTTTACCAAATCCCTGAAAAAAAAATTTTTTATAATAAGTGATTTTGAAAGTTGATTCTTATTTTGATTGCCCACAGTTGTTTGTACATTTTTGTAGCTAATATAAAGGTTTTTTAATATTGATTTTTTTCTGCACAACTACAGTCAGTTATTATTGTTTACTATCATTATGATACTTTGGACACATGGAATTTCAAAGAGAACAAGTTTCAAGTTATTAAAATACAGTGGATACAAATATTATACTTACAATCATTCTAGAAAGGTACATGTTTAAACCAGGAGGGTCGTAATTGGCACCAATAACCGAAATTTCCGGATACTTTTGTTGTATTATTCCTGCATAGTCTTCAAATACTTTTCTATAGCCACACGAATAACTGGAAACAATGCAGGTAAGATTAAATAAACCTGCTGAATACACATGACCTATAAATAGCACATTAATATCTTATCTTGGAATTTGTATTCATACCATTTTCTATGTATTATTGTACAAAAACACAAAACACTTGGGTTAAAAAGGTAGACTTACCAATAGTAAATATTCATTATGTGATGCCCTACTCCTTGACCAATTTTTGTAAGGCTTTCAGCGTCATTGTCGCTAGCTTGTGCGAAGGATTCTGCACATATCAATAGAATCATAACGGTTATCACGATAAAACTTGAAAGTGAACAAATATTAGACGACATGATCCTAGGATGGCTTCTTGGGTTGTTTATCTTTTTTCAGTGGTTCGCAAGTAAGATCTGTTAAACACCAAATAAGTATTTAAGAGAAGAATGAGTTATTACTAATTCACTTTAATTAGCGCGTTAATACGGAAATTAAAGAAAAGTAACCACACTATCAACCACTTTACAGGATGACAGACAAATTCAAGAAGACAGCTCTACCACAGATAAAAAAGTACAAAATTATCTGTCACAATCATTGAGATACCAAATTGATGGAGTGGCCCTATTGATCTATTACAAAAATTTCATCGAAATAATACTTACCCACATGGTAACGTATGAAAAAAGAGATATATATAAAGGCACTGGGTCTCTATCAGAATATGTGTAATAATCAGCATCTGTGTCCGGCGCCGACATATATAATGTTTGGCCAATACTCATTCTGGCAACATTTTCATGTGACGCCAGTACGCCACCAACTATCTGACGCGTGCTCGATACATACACAATTTGGGAAAGGTACACGGTCGCAACGCAACTCGCAATATAGGATTGGATAGCAGCTGACAAAATTATTTGTTTATAGCCTGACCAGGAACATAAAAACCCTCGCCATGTTGCGGAAAACTAATGGTACTAATTTCTTTTAATGGCAACAGTAACTGAAAACTTCATTATAATGTCACCTTGCATGTCAGTTTATTGCTGTCATAGTGTAAACAAACTTTATTTTAAATGTGCGCAATTGATTTTGTGAATAAATTGNTATGAATGGGCAATTCTACAACAGTTTATGGTAATTTATTAAAAAGTTTAATACCATTTTTCCATAAATGAATTACCAATCTTATTTGGTACTAGGCGGAGGACCCGTTACTCAGTACCGAATACATACGGTTTGCTACAGCTCTTAATTTTGAATATTAATTTGAAACCTCGGCTCAAGCCGTATCTTGAGGACGGGTTTGGGAGAAAAGGTACATATCTGTTTTGTCCAAAACGGATGACTTCAGCGACACAGGGGGCACGTGCGGCCAAAATGCATTATCTTATCCGACAATTTACACAAAATATTGCCTATTATTATTTAGAACTCACTTGCACAGAATACTGTACAGAAGGCGGACTTAATGCCAGTCATCTATCTTAACGAACTAGCTTTCCTAATTTCGGTAAAAGAAAAAGGTTTCAAATTTCACCACTTACATTTTTAATAATTTATGTCTGATTCGGTGCGACAGATGGTTGTTAAATTAGTTCGAGAAAAAAAGTCTATCCATCCACCAAGTAATAAAAATTTCCGTTAAATATCATAATATTTTAAGCGCATCGTATTAAAATAAGTTGCAGAATAAATGTTTTAAGTGACAATAATGTATGTATTTCACTACTACACACAACTATTAATTTGTGAATTATGATCATAATTAAAAGCAGTGCGTTAATTTCTTATGTTTTTCATAGAGATTTTTATAAAATTTTCTTTATAACATATTACTGAGCTTCGTGGAATTGTTAAACGTAAAATTATTAGCTACCTACTCATGTTAGAAATTTTAAACATTGTGAAGAGCAGCCTTATCCTAGGACAAGTTTTTTAAAAACTTAAATGGATAAGGCTAATTTGTAATTACAATGTACCTAACATGATGTGTTTCATAATAAAATATTTGTATTTGTATTTTGTATTTCAAGTGCAGGCTAAAATGTTTTAAGCGACATCAAGTATGAATTTCAAGTGCAGGCTGCATGTTTAAAGCGACACCAATATAAATTTCAGATTCAGGCATAACGATTCAAATGCCTTTTGTTGCGTAGTTTTCAAGCAAAATCACTTATGTCAAATCATTTTATGAAGTTTTATTTTTCTACAATTTATGTCGTATCAGACAAACTAGATTCGGACTAGACCTAAAACTGATGTTTCAAACGACAATAAAGTGTTCAGATCGCTACAAACCGAGCTCAAACAACGCAGAAAATTCTCGCAATTCCGAATATAACTCAATATCGCCCAAGATGTCGCTTAATGCAAATATAGCCTGTGAACCCTCGAATTGCACCACTCAGCGATACGTAACTAAATTAATTAAAAATATCGATCATATAATGGATTTTGTCCTGACCATGAATACGTGTGTTTTGTTTTGAAGAGGTTATTTTTCGTTTTTATTTAACTTTTGACAATGCATGTTTACTGTTTAGTTTGTGATTTTAGTTTTAATCACGTCACAGTGTTTTTAATTTATTATTCAGAAGCGTAAATTAGTGTGGATTACAATTATGTATTTGAAGAATAATATGTTATTTATTTTTAATCGATTTTATAAATGTACAGTCAAAGAATTATTTCATCATAAGAGCTATCATTTGCGCATGACATAGATTATGTTCCCTGTCTGCAACAATTAGTAACTACTACAAACAACTAAAGCCCGGTCGCCGAGTACGTAGAATTTCGTCCAATGACCCATCTTTATCAACCGTGCAACATGCGGCCGCAGTGAGTGTGCGAGTGCGACAGCAATACAATTACGCGCGAGTGATAAGGATGGGTTTGTTACTTGAAATGTCAACCTTACGGCAGTAGTAATAAGAGCGTATCGCTGACTTTAGCCCGCGAACTACATTGCCCGCGTGCAGTATATCCTTAAAAGTATAGTTAACGTTCGAAAATTTGTTGGATTATTGATAAATCTGTTTTAATATATTATCAAATGGTCAACAGATGTATAAAAATGGACGGAGCAATTATTCACACGACGTAATTACGTAAAAATAAGAACTATAACATAGTAAAGGAAAATTTATTGGATTACTGTGAAAAGCTATGTATTTGAACATATAAAAGCGTATTAAAAAATAAAAATCAGCAGAGCAATTTTTCAGTAGAAGTTATAGTGCAAAATGTTAAAAGTTAAATTTCAGGTATCTCTGAAATCGAAAAAGTGTTGGATTCTTTTACATACATATTCTAAGTAGTACATAGGTACGTATACAGAAAGAATTTCAGGCTGAGAATTTTTACACAGAGAGTTATTAACGATTTTCATGTTTAGGTCAAAAAACATAACTTCCCAAAAAAAAAATGTGTTAAAGTATTTGTCGAAGAGAAATACTAAGGGTTCGGACAATATTTTCATTGAATAATGTTTCCGACAAAGGTTGTCAAATTGACTGACATGTTTATCGTATAGTACAGTCAACTATGAAAATTAGCTGTGGTTTGTTTCAACTACCTATTTTAAAGTTTTTTGTCACTTTCTAAGTGTTGAATTTTATGGAATTGGGAAAGAAGTACCGAGCTTGAAGCGTTCATGAGCAGACATTGTAGTTGAATATTCAAGTTCAGAATTTGATTATTGATGAATAATAATAAAATCCTACTTGCTAGATTGATGGTTTCATTTAATTTATTTAAACCAGTTTACCTATAATATAATACGTTTTTGTAAATTTATGAAAATATTAAATAAGCCTTTAATCCTGAATCCTGATACATAAAGTTAGCCTATTAATTTAATACAGGTACGACTGTACCCAGTGTTGCACTATCAAATGCAATTGAAGCGCCTCTATGCCAGGGTTTTTATGTTCCTGGTCAGGCTATACTTGACATATTATTTTGTCAGCTATTGGCGGTCATGTTCCTTTCTCAAATCGTGTATGTACCAAGCACGTTTATTTTATAGGTATGCCCGGTCCATAGTATATACGTCAATTCGGATTTGTCATTCACTATTTCTGCTACTGTCATTGCTGTCAAGATTTCACAATCTGTGGTAAAAAAATTCGGGCAGGCGAGCCGGCCGGATCGCTTTGTACCAAATTTTTATAAATTTCGCATTGATTTGTTGTTTTAGATATTTATTTCAGGGGTAAAGTAGCGTCACCATTGCAATATGGCTCATTTTAAATTAATATGCTCGACGAAAGCTTCAGATGTAATTCCTGTTAATAAATACGTGTCGGAGAAGACTGGTTTAACCGTAATCATAGCAGAAACCGAAGGACCCCTTGTGAATGGATTTTTCTGTCTTGGTAATGTTAAACATTTGGTTATCGTAATTATCTAATTATCTCTGTTCTAAAGCTGTTGTAGCGTTGGCAATTTTTAAATCAATTATATTATTGGGTCAGATTCTATAATTTTTAGTAATGAAAATTATTTTGTTTAGCTACGGAAGCCCACGATGATGATGGCCTACCTCATACTTTGGAACATCTCATTTTCTTGGGTTCCGAAAGATACCCCTATAAAGGCATATTGGACCTCCTGGCGAATCGGTGTATGGCCCATGGAACTAATGCATGGACTGACACTGACCACACATGCTACACTATTTACACCGCTGGGGATGCAGGAATGCTGACCTTGTTGCCGATATACTTGGACCACATTTTGAATCCAACTCTCACCGAACATGGCTTTTTAACCGAAGTCCACCATATTGATGGTGACGGAGAGGATGCTGGAGTGGTATATTGTGAAATGCAGGGACGGGAAAATAATGCTGATAGCAGGTAAGTGAATAATATAATTTTAAAATTCAATATTATTTAAATAAAATCATTTGAAATTTTACTTGTAACAAATGTAATTTTATTTCATTACTTGACTTGAAACACAATTTTTTTTTCAGGTGTGAACTGCGTTTGCTTCGAGCAATGTACCCAGACAGTGGTTATTCAGCAGAGACTGGTGGAATCATGAACAATCTCAGGACTTCCACTGATAATACTAAAGTAAATACATATTTTTCATAGATTCATCATTTATTGGGGTAGTGTCTGAACATTGTTCTGTTTCCAGGTAACCAATTTCCATAAGAAGTTCTATCGTGCAGAAAACCTCACGATCATTCTCACTGGACAGATCTCGGCTGAAGATGTGTTCAATGCAATAGCCATTGTGGAGGATGACATCATTGCAAAGGTGAGATACAAATAATAAAGGGGTCTGACGCAGAATATACACTTTGCAAAATAAAACATAATAAGTTTGTTGTAATGTTATCTTAATCGATCATTTCTGTTTAATATCCATTTGTTCTATTAACAGACCTGCTCTTATTGTTCTTTTTGATTGGTTTTTTGCTATTGCCTCCTTATAGCATTTTCCTCCTTGTTCTTACTTCTAAATATTATGAGTCATGGATTTAATACACTACTTATAGGTAGTACCTACATCTTCATGGAAGCATTCATGTAGTGATTATCCTTATTTTCAAAGACTAGTTTCCTTATCTTAGGTCACCACTGCATTTTAATCACATCTATTTCATTGTTCTTGTTGAGAATTGTATATGATCATATTTTATTTAACATAAATAAAGCATAGTAATAAATAAATAAATGATAGTATTTAATACTGGTGAACTAATGTAGATGAAATAGTCAACTAGGTAATAAAGAAGCAACGAAAAATTTAAAACCAATATGCTTCTGTGCTCAGACAAAAAGGTTTTGGCATTTGCATTTTGTGGATGATATTTTTATAACTTAGTTGATGTGATCAGAACAGTTCATTAAACTTGTGACCAACACTTAGGTGTGAAGGTCACCCAATTTGTTTTATTGTCCGATTCATGCACTTATTATTAGGTATAGATTATAGATCTGATACAAAGATAGAGATTTCGGTATTTCAAGGGAGAGAGAGATCTTTATAATATCACCCTTCTAAAAACGGAATTAAATTAAATAACCTGTTTTCCCTTGGATTTCACTATTTATCACAAATTGCATCTTAATGAGTTTGATGGTTAAGAGTAGGCGCACACCGTTGATTTTTCGTCGGCCGATAGTTTAGTTGGGCAGTTGATCAGTATGGGCATGTATGGGAGTGCGCACACTACGCCGATTCGATTTGGCCGATTCTTCATACAATTTAAAATCGGGCACAACTATCGGCCAACTAAAAATCAACGGTGTGCGCCTACTCTTAAGCGTGAAATGGCGGGTACTAAGACACTAACTTACTCCGACAAAAGTGTCAGAGTAATGTGAACAGGATTGCTCATAGTAATCTTTATAATGTTCGCCTTATGTACAAATTTATTTTGGCATAAAAGTTTAAATAAATAAATAAATAATGTATGAGTCTAAAATATTTTCCATAATAACTTTTATTGCTGTAAAAACATGTTTGCTTGGCAGTTCAATCGTGTTATTATTTTCACAATTGTCGCCCAAATTTAATGTAGGTCGTTCTTTTTTTATTTTGATTCTAATATTTCGTCATAAAGTTGTCTATCGTATGTGAGTGGTCTACGATCTAATCGAAACAAGTATCTTTGCTAATCGACCTCTACATCACACTAAACAGACTCGTATTGCGTGACTCATGATCTATTATTATCACGCCAATGACCACAAAAAATCTATAAGCTCAAGCTCCAATTAAAATATGAAGTCTGGTCTGTATGCTAAATATCTAGATTATATTGCAATTAAAAAGTAATTTGTAAATAGGCAGAAAGAAAAAGCCTAAGGCGCAAACCCCCGAGATTTAGTTGGATCCTGTTGGACCCGATTCTAATTTGTATGAAAAATCGGCCGATACCTAATCGGTGTAATGTGGTCTGCGACTAGGCTAAAATTTACTGAAAATGTTTGAGATTTAATTTAGTGATTTCTATGAATTCTTGCTTGTTGATTTTATCATTATACCTACGTGTAGGTCCTCTATTATAGCAAATTCTTAGCAAACAAATGTTCTCATCATGTAGTCTGCCTCTGCGTCATCTAGGATGCATCACAGCGCATAAATTACGTTTGATTAAGGACAGACATCAAGGTCAAAACCTTTAAAGAGCTCTTATTCACGCGAATTTTGAAGCAATCCGTTGAATGATAACTACAGTAGAATCTCGATTATTTGAACTTCGATTATCCGAACTTCGACTATCCGAACTTCCATTATCCAGATATCCGATTATCCGGACTCATCTTTCACGGTTCTAATTACCGATTTAGGGCCTGGACCCATCAAAACGGCACGGCGCCGCTGCCATCGTAAAACGGTACAGAAGTCGTCTTGGTTCATTGTTAAAATGGATTCATCCAATAAGTAGTCTAAAATGATGTTTTAAAAACTCCTTTCTATTATAAAAAGTTAATTATTGTTTGATTTTATTTTTAAATCGATTATCCGTATTTTTGATTATTCTGAATACCCCTGGTTTTAATTGATCCGGATAATCGGGATTCTACTATACCTACTTAAAATAATCTGTATTATTCAGAGAGCGAAGGAACCGCAGGAAGATTGGGTGAAGCCATGGCAGACCATCCCTCCTATGCCGAAGTATGGAGAACTCAAGGAGCAGTGGCCCGCAGACACCGAGGACTGTGGTCAGGTATACATTCTCTTAAATCTTGTATTGATGCCCTGACCATTTTTAGTCAATAGTAGTTTTAATATCTACAATTTATTACAGTCTAATGAATGCACTAAACATAATATGCATCTTACAAAATATTACACAATGCCGAAAAGCAATCTTGCCTTGCAAACGACACTTTATAATTTTAACTTTCGTATGAATAATATGACGACCATCACGCATACATTGTCTTAATAATTTTACAAGTTTAATAATAATTTTACTTGTTTCTACAAGTGTTATTTCTAGATTTTCATGTCAAGTAACACCAAAACCAGTACATATTGCTTGAACTCCAAAAAAGTTATCAGATCTTATGCAGAGCCAAGCTCTCATCATAGAGTTTTGTGTCAATACTATCCTTTAAGTTCTCTAAAATCCCTACACCTTAAAGCTTGTTTTAGAGGTTCATACATTCTGTTGTCATTCATTCAAGTGACTTGTCCGTTTTCCTTGGCCTATTCTACGAAATAGTGATTTAAATCATGTACAAAAACACCCCAGGTGCTGTTCGGCTGGCGCGGGCCCATCTTGCTAGAAGACAACGCTATGAAAGACCTGACAGGGTGTGCGGTTCTACTCCGCTACCTCTGTGACACGGCCGCGGCGCCGCTGCAGAAATGCCTGGTCGAAAGGGAAGACGCCCTCGCCGGCGATGTAAGTTGACTATTATAGTTTGTAGTTTCACTGCTGAGCTAACTTGTGTTTGTAAATATTCTCATCTCGTAACCAATTTTGGTAATCGGGGGCAGCTGAGATTGGAGTGAAGTAGTTTCCTTGATGCAAGTTTTAAAAAGGTATACTTCAATTAATTGAGAATTTGTCCCAGACTTTGAACTGCTGTGAATATAAATTGCTCGCCACTTATATTAAAGATCAACCATTTGGAAGCCCATTCTCAATGGATTAATGGTCCTGAGTTGGACTGCTAGAAATAATTTGTAGTTAAAATCATTTATTGACCTTCTGGGCTTTTTCATTGAAGCGATTTAAACGTGTACATACTGGATAGATAACTTCTAAGCAAGTTGTGCTTCCCGTTTCTAACGCTACAATATTGCTAACGTCTACTAGTCCAATCAACGAGGCGTTTGTAACCCGAATAATTCGTCTGTCAATGAAACTTGGCACATGGTGAAAGTAGGTAATATAGATCATAGATTNGGACTATACATGAAAAAGCGTTTTATTAATCTCATGAGGTCACTTAAACTCAACGCGGATGCCAGCAACGAGAAACGTACGTATGGAAAACTAGAAGTCTATATTTCATCAACGTTTCACAATATCATGACGTAGTTCTAGTAGTTTTATAGATTTCTAAACTCCATGCTTTTTCGTTGACGATGATAGGTTGTGTCGGGGGATGTTTTTTTTGTTATACGCCACATGATGTGTGTTTGTGTGCGTGCGGCGGCGCTGCTATCGCTTGCTGCGCGCGACGCTGCGCACGCGCTTAGTGACGTCACGCTTCCGCGCGATAAAGTGGATACAGGTGACGCAAAATGAAATAATCTGTGGAAGGATTGTGCCAGATTTTGTTGAATGAAATAATACAATGAACTATTTCATTGATTTTCTAGTAAACCTTATTACACGTCTTGACAAATAAATGAGTGTGATCTAGAACAAGATGGAACTCTGATATAGTATTTGTGTAAAGTCCATTCACATACATTTCTTAAATAGATTAATGTTTCCGAAATTCATATTATGTTATATATTTGTTGTGTGCTTATGTAATTTCACAGTTACAGCTACGTCTAATAAATGGGTTTTAAACTCTATAAAATCTGGTACTATCCAATAAGTGTCTGCTGTTATATGGGTATACTCTGACCTTCCATTATCTGATTCGGAACCAATTTTAATTTCGAAATTATCGTTATCTTCTTTTTCCGTTTTTTGTGTGCGTCGTAGTAGTTGATGCATTTTCTGTGACATTTTTATTTTACAGCATTTTATGTTCAGCATTTTTAGTTTGTTGGTTTTTGTTGGCGTTGTTATGGTATATTCATATTCTTACCTCGGTGGGCCGTCGCGAGTTTAATTTAATTTATCTGTGAAGAGCTCTGCATATGCTACACCATGTGTTGTAGACTTGTATGCAAAGACATGCTCTGCCCATTCATAGGAGAATGTGAATATATCTTTATTAATTGATATAATAATAATTGAATGTAATTGAATATTTCATTCTTGATGAACATATTTTTCTCATCCAGTGCGAATTTGTTTGTGGTTAAAGTAAATAATGTTTTATTACATTATGATGTCACCTGACACTGGGTCTTCTATGACCCACGTGTCCAATATTTTTAAGTAACTTATTTTGAAACTGAGCAAAGCATAACATTTATAAATAACCCAATCTTCTACTCAAACATCTAACATGCCATTTCGATCGGCAGGTCTCATACAACCTGACGGAGAATATCGCGTCACTCATCAAGATCGAACTAGACAATGTGCCCATGGACAAGCTAGAACTGGCCAGAGACGAGGCTCGGAGGTGCCTAGGAGCGGTCAGGTCCGGCGAGGAGCCCATAGACATGGACAGGATGAAGCGACTGCTGAAGAAACAGCTGAGAGAGAGCCTGGCTAGTCTGGAGGCGGACCCGCATCACGCCGTGGCGTTCAGGTGCATCGGTGACGCGCTGTATTCTCAGAATGAAAAGGACGTAAGTTTACCAATGATGTTTTTTATTGCCATGTAATTAGCATAAAATTAAATGTGTTTAGCTATACATAGGTTAGGAGCTATTTTCATCTCTTGATACTTTATTAGGGTTGGGCATAGTCTGAAAATTTAGCAATACCAAGTGGTACTGAGCTGTTGAAGAACCGACAAAAGATGAAGTAAACTGGTTCTCAGCTGACTTAGCCTAAAATGCCCTAAAAATGCGGCAAATTTTCTGTGGCGAAGCTTATGTCTACTATTTGTACTGCCATTGGCTGAAATGATGATTACTAATGTCCGATTGTCTTGACAAATCGTTGTGCTATTTCCGCCTCTATTCTTCACAACTGACGGTTCATTTTCCTCTATTCCAGTTCGTAGACCGCATGAACCCGCAATACCAGCTTCAGGAGCTGCTACAAGAAGATGCAGCATACTGGCTGGGGCTGTTAAGAAAGTTCTTCACTGATGACCTGGTCACCATCGTGGGCTCACCTAGCATTGATCTGCAAGCAAAGTAAGTGCTAGAAGGACAAAAATGCTACACAAATAGTCTACTTTAACAGACCTGCCCTTAGCGCCTTGGTGTTCCACTATTTCCACTATTGGGCAATGATCAGGCCTTATTTAAAGTGTTTGATAAATCAATTATTTTATTTTAGAATGGCAGAAGAAGAAAAAAATAGGATCGAATCGCAAAAAGAAGAATTGGGTGAGAGTGGATTAGCTGAAAAAGCGCGTCTGCTCGAAGAGGCCACTGAATTCAATAATGTAAGAAACAAACTGTATTTATTTTTCTTTCGATTCCTCTAAAAAGCGTGTTTTAGATTTCGATATTAGTCCTCACTCTTCCCGTGGATATCGTAAGAGGTGACTAAAATGGGGGAAAGTGAACATCAGGCCTCCACGACCTGCCAGCGTGAGGAATACAGGCCAAATTCTCCATTTGCCTCCGGTAAATAACTCCATCACAGTTCTTCACGCGCGCATTTTCTATCAACGTTAGCAAACATGAGGGTTAATGGAATAATCTTTTATAAGGCTCTATCCCGTATATTGCTACCATAATTAGAATCTTATTCACTCATCTTACGGTACAATATCAATGAAAATATCCAACATGTTGTATATCTGATAGAGGATTGAATGTGATTCTAGCGCTCCGGCACACTAGCGTCTGTCCCGGTGCCGTCGTGCGACTACCTCAAGTGCCACGTCATCCAGACCTTTAGCACGGGCGGCGAGCCCAGCCCTCACTTCTAACATACTCTAGCTTTTGTCTCTAGGCTCACTGGAATGGATGTCGATCTATCAGTTTTTCACGCGTGCGTTTTCTATCAACGTCAGCAAAATGAGGATTAGTGGATTAATCCTGTATAAGACTCTGTCCCACATATGGCTACCATAATTAAATTAGAACCTTATTATTCACTGATCTTAGGGTACAAAATCTATTAAAATATCCAACATGCTGTATCTGATAGATAGAGGATTGAATGTGATTCTAGCGTCCACCGCCTCCCGGCACGCTAGCGTCGGTGCCGGTGCCGTCGTGCGACAACCTCAAGTGCCACGTCATCCAGACCTGGAGCACGGGCGGCGAGCCCTGCCCGCACTTCTAACATACTCTAGCTTTTGTCTCTAGGCTCACTTGAATGGATGTCGATCTATCACAGTTTTTCACGCGTGCGTTTTTCTATCAACGTCAGCAAAATGAGGATTAGTGGGATCCTGTATAAGACTCTGTCTCACATATGGCTACCATAATTAAATTAGAACCTTATTATTCACTAGTCTTAGGGTACAAAATCGATCAAAACATCCAACATGTTGTATCTGATAAAGGATTAAATGTGATTCTAGCGTCCAACGCCTCCCGGCACGCTAGCGTCGGTGCCGGTGCCGTCGTGCGACAACCTCAAGTGCCACGTCATCCAGACCTGGAGCACGGGCGGCGAGCCCAGCCCTCACTTCTAACATACTCTAGCTTTTGTGCCTAGGCTCACTCGCAAGAATGTCGGTATATCGCAGTTTTTCATGAGCGCGTTCTCTGTCAACGTAGGCAAACGTGAGGGTTTATGAGTCTTGACCCAGTGTGTAGGGTGTAGAGGGTTTGCCTCTATAGGGCAAAACGACACACAGAAGATAGTGAATAAGGTCAAAGGTGAAGATATATCCAGGTCAGAACATCATAAAAGGTTAATATCATTCCAGCGCCCACCGCCTCCCGGCACGCTAGCGTCGGTGCCGGTGCCGTCGTGCGACAACCTCAAGTGCTACGTCATCCAGACCTTTAGCACGCGCGGCGAGCCCTGCCCGCACTTCTAACATACTCTAGCTTTTGTCTCTAGGCTCACTCGAATGGATGTCGATCTATCAGTTTTTCACGCGTGCGTTTTCTATCAACGTCAGCAAAATGAGGATTAGTGGATTAATCCTGTATAAGACTCTGTCCCACATATGGCTACCATAATTAAATTAGAACCTTATTATTCACTGATCTTAGGGTATAAAATCTATTAAAATATCCAACATGCTGTATTTGATAGAGGATTGAATGTGATTCCAGCGTCCACCGCCTCCCGGCACGCTAGCGTCGGTGCCGGTGCCGTCGTGCGACAACCTCAAGTGCCACGTCATCCAGACCTGGAGCACGGGCGGCGAGCCCTGCCCGCACTTCGACCTGAAAGAAGTACCTTTGTACACGAGGGTGCACAGCTTGAAGACCAACTTCGTTTATGTGAGTTGAAAATTTGTCAATTTAAATAGTTCTTTGGATAGCTATTTCAAGAAGAGAAAAGAGAGCCCAATCTCAAATAATACTGTCTTTATATGAGCCTGAAAATATAAAACAATACAAGCTGGTAAATCGTCTAGGTGTTGAATATCTAATTCGTAAAAGCTAAACTGGCTAAGCTGGTAAACTTGTATGGTATTAATTTATCGTGACGTCAAATGAAATTAAAAATCTATGCATATCCTTTCTATCTAAAATTAATAATATACTTAGGTTAGATATCATACCCAAGTCAAATAAAGGTTTTTTAGACTCTGACATCCATTTCTTTGCTCTTACTCCTCTCACAACTATTAACTTATTATAATTTCCAATATTCCAGATCAACCTAGTCCTAGACATGACGTCAGTGGACCAGAAGTGTCGCAAGTGGCTCCCTCTGCTGCTAAACGCGTTGGCCGAGTGTCCAGTCCGGCGTGGAGACAAGCTTATCCCCCACGAGGACGTCATCTCTACCACTGAACAGCTGACGGTGCTGTTCTCTAATAACATCGGATTCAATTCCGGAGGAAACTTCTCGGTTGGAAGCTATGGGAATTTCTTGCATATTGATACGAGGGTAAGTTAAAACTTTTGCTTGGTTACTGATTTCTTTATTGGTTACATTGCTCCTATGTAAATATGTACATACATAATGTGATTAGCAGGAACATGGTCTTGGAATAAAAGACGAGTTCTTACACTGTGGAAATAAATTGGATTACTATTTTTTTGTGATTTACATTACATTATTTAATTTAAAATAACACATAAAATCTACGTTTTAAGTCTCCTAATAGGGGTCGTCAAATATTTTTGTCCACTTTCAAATTAACAAAACAAAATTTTCTTATTCCCTTATTATGTAACATAACATGTTCGTTTTTTTTAGTGTGAACCCCAAGATTACGAAGAGGTTGTGAACCACTTGTACGAAATTCTGTACACAGCTGAACTGACCAAAGAGAGGTTGCTGGTCTTCGCACAGCGGTTGATCAACGATGCAGCTCAGGTAATGTAAATTTATAAAGAATTGTCTTTATAAAGAACAAACTACACGACTTTGTTGAATATCCGTATTTACAAAATATGTTATTACAATAAAAAATATACTCCTGGAGGCGAGATGCGAAATAAAGTGAGGTTTTGCGTCTGGCACAATACAATACAATGTTTAAATTACTCTGTTTATATTGCACGCTTGTTGTAATTTTCGCTTTCACAAACATGTTCTTTTATCTGCAAAGTCATTGATAGATATTCTCGATATTTGAATCTCGTTAGTAAAACATCCGTGCGTAGATTTTATTTAAATAAAGGTGCTAAATAATCAAATTATAATCTACACCTTCAGGTCCGTCGCAACGGCCACAAGATGGTATACGACACACTGCGCGACCTACTCTACTGTAAGGACAGTAACGTGCACTGGTGCTCCGTGCTACGTCAGCTCAAATTCCTCAAGGAGCTGGTGGAGCAACTTAACGCGGGTGGAGACGCCGCTTCAGCTGCCCTCCGCGACGCTAAGGAGACCTTCAAGTGAGTACATTTACTGCAGCCCCGAACTGGTGAGACGCGGCGAAGAGACCAGTAAGGAAATAAAACCTTATTTTTTATGTCATACGGTTGGAAATGACATGCCAAATTGATGTGCGACTACTCTGCGCGACGCTTGACAGCTCCATCCGGTGTCTTGTGTCTCCGGATGCCGAATCTCGATGGCTTTGGCGAGTGTTGGAATCTCTTGTGACCCTATATGCTGTACGATATACCCTATGGCTGGTTTTAGTGTCGCGGACCGTCCGGTGTGGACCCGCTCCGCACGGCTAATCTGTATGGACTTCTAGGGAGCGTTTTAGAGTAATGCGGTCCGGAGGAACCGCTCGCTCGCTAGCAGTTCATACAGATCGGCTCTGCGGAGCGATCCGCACTGACAGTCCGTGTGACACTAAAACCAGCCTATGTGAGTACGATTAAATCATCCGGGTCATCTAGTCCTTAATAAATTCTGGATAAAGGCAGTCTCTAACAGGCATGGCTATTGCAGGTGCATCGCGGCGCGGCCGTGGCTGCACTTGGCGACGGACTTCGACCGCTACAAGCTGCGTACGGAGCCTTGGAAACAGTTTGCGCACGAGAACGAGATCACGCCGCTAGAGTAAGTACATGTAATATTTTTTATGAATTAAATAATAAAAATATAGGTTGTAGTATTTGTAGTTAAATTATCTAAAATGAACAAAATAGACCAGTAACGTCGCAATGTTTTCAGACTCCTTAACATCGTTCGTAACGTTTCTATAGTCTGGTCTGTGAGCACGTAGAATTTTGTCCAATGACTCCAAGCTACCCATCCTTATCGCTCGCGCGTAATTATGTTGCAATCGCGCTCGCACACTCACTGCGGGTGCCAGTCGCACAGTCGCGACAGCAATATAATTACGCGCGAGCGATAAGTATGGGTAGCTTGAGGTCATTGGACAAAATTCTACGTGCTCACAGACCGGGCATTAGACTCCGTAACGGTGTCTTAATTTTGTCAGACTCCGTAACATTGCAGTAAGATTGGGCAATCTTGAAACGTTTTCGTAATATTGACAGACCCCGGCTGTACATGGACGCGTCATTGATGTCAGACGTCAGCGGCGGCTTCGTGGTGGGCGTGGGCGGCGTGGAATCGTCGTTCCTGGTGCAACTGAGCGCCGGGCCCGCGGGCCACGCCGCCGCCGCGCTCGCGCCTCTCACCGTCGCGCTCAACTACTTCACGCAGCTCGAGGTGACTCCTATTGCCGCGCCGTAAGGTCGCTACTTAGGTCGCCACCTAGTAGGAGGCCTGCCCCCGCTACGTTTTCCAGCCCGTGGTCGCCACTCGAGAACTTTCCTGCCCCAACGGCCATCGTCTCTACGAGCTATGTGCCCCGCCCCCTGCCCCTTGATTTTAGCAATTCTGCGAGCTATGTCGGTTACTTTNGAGCCCACCCGTAACCCAAGCTTATTTAGCTTAACACAAGGGGCTGGACGGGACTATTAGTAATTTGTGCAATACAAAGTGCTTATAATCTTTAAAAAAATCTTTTTATTGCTGTATTTAACCTTCCTTTCGTATACTAATTTATGCGTCAGTGTCAAGTCTGCGATTTTTATTCTTTGAAATTTTCGTAAAATGGCTGCCGCCGCGGTGACGCCTTGTAATTAACAAATTAAAATTAAATTAGTGTTTTAAAGTGCATAAATGTACAACTTAATGGTAAAAAGTCATTCCTTGATTTTTACTTAATATGTATCTGGAGTTATTTGAACAGTATTTTCGTCTATAGGATGGCATATTTCAAAAAACAAAACTGCACTCAAGCGTGTTGTCACAGCAACCGCTGAGCACATACTAATTGAATTTCGGTCCGTGGACCTATTTACGTGCCAGAAACAGTCTAGTTGACATGTCTTCTCTAGTACGTAGTACATTATAACTCAATGCGTTAAACTTACGTTGTTACGTCAGCTGCAGTGTTGATGTGCTGTTTTGATACAATTTCACTATCACGGGCATTATTATTAGACTAGGAATTTGTTCAAATCATCTTATAAAAACGGAATATTTTTTAAATACGAATAGTAACTGCTACCTATGCAGTGACTGCTATTTAATAAATTTCAATAAAACTAAGGACGAGTAAGACTATTGTATCGAATCTATCGTATGAAATGCGGTCCCCACCCACAAGATAAGTACAAGATAATTTTAACCCTCGCTGTACGAGGTGGGGTGTGACACACCCCAGTCCTTTAAAAATCGCCATAATTTAAAAAAATTGCAAGTGCTGAATTTGAAATTCTCAGTAGCTGGAATTATGGCGCTGCTGCTTCGATCAGCGTTGCAAAATCAGTCCAGCGGTGACTACCAACTAGGGGTTGCAATAGAATATTCGAATATTCGAATTTAGATTCCAAATTTAATATTCGAATAGTAAATTAACATTTATTCGAATATTCGAATATTAAAAAAATAAACAGAAAAGATAGAACGAAGTCAAGTGTTTGCAAATGTGGTCGGAGGCATCAAATACATATCACCAACTAAAAGAACTAGTCATTGATGCTTCCGACTTCATTGGTGAACACTAAGTTGTCTTGCGAAACCAAGGTTCCAAATTACCTGAAAGAGACAACTTTATTGAGCAAAGTCAGCTAACGATGCTGAAGACGGCGGGCGGTAACGTCAACAAAAGCCGAGGTTCTGGGTGAGATCGAAAAGATTTATTGACAGCTACATACCTCCAAACCTGTTAATAACTCCGCAACAGATGCAAGAGCTAGGTTAACGCGACACTATACCAAAGACATCCCGTATATCAGCCTATACGAGATTGATTAGGAAGGCTCTCAAACAGCTAAAGAACAGCAAGGCACCGAGTGATGACGGAATAACCTGGGAGCTTCTGAACGCGGGTGGAACACCGAAACTCGTTCCGTCTTACTCTAAGGAACAACGCCAGAGGCATGGGATAGAAGCNCCATCGAGCCACGCGGCCACGTAGCGTGGGCAGGCCTCCTACTAGGTGGACCGACGATCTGGTAAGGGTCGCGGGAAGAACCTGGATGCGGGCAGCGCAGGACCGTCCATTGTGGAAAACCTTGGGGGAGGCCTTTGTCCAGCAGTGGACGTCATTTGGCTGAAACGAACGAAGGTCGCTACTGGTGTACGGATCTGAGACGTGGTTGCTCACTGTGGGCCTCATATCATCATCATCATCACAGGTCTTCGACCTTCTCGGCCGGTTCGGGCGTCGAGCTTGTGCTCATGGCCCGTGCTGCATCTCGACTGGCAGTAGCCGGTGGTTTTGGCGTCGCTTTGGCGACGGACTGCCTGGGCTTCTACCTGGCACCACTGTCCCGCCCTCGGCGCGGTACCAGCCCACCGGGTGAGTCGACGTTGGTCGAGGCCCAGTGAACGACCAGCGAGCGGGCGGTTCCTGGATGCCAGGGAGCTCATAAGAAAGCTCAAGGTCACCCAAAGAGCGATGGAGCGTGCTATGCTCGGAGTTTCCCTGCGTGATCGGATCAGAAATGAGGAGATCCGTAGGAGAACCAGAGTGACTGACGTAGCCCGCAGAATCGCAGAGTGGCAGTGGGCGGGGCACATAGTTCGAAGAGCTGATGGCCGCTGGGACAGGAAAGTTCTTGAGTGGCGACCACGAGCTGGAAGACGTAGCGTGGGCAGGCCTCCCACTAGGTGGACCGACGATCTGGTGAAGGTCGCGGGAGGTGCCTGGATGCGAGCGGCGCAGGACCGGTCTTTGTGGAAATCCTTGGGGGAGGCCTTTGTCCAGCAGTGGACGTCTTTCGGCTGAAACGAACGAAGGTCGCTAGTGGCGTGCAGCGAGCGCCGGGCCCGCCGACTGCTTCACGCGGCCCGAGGCGACTCCTGTTGCCAACAAATTGTTTGGATTCTCGTCTCTGGTACAGCTAAGCGCCGCAGTCTTTTTTGAAGGACGAATCCACGCCTGCTGAAGAAAATTGAGATTTTCGTTTTGATCAGTTGCTATAACTCATCCACTGAAAAGCGAATACTGTACTAATAAACCAGGAGCTTATAACTCCTGTGGCTAGGATGGCAGAGAGTATTATGTTAACACATCTCGTTCCAATCAAGGGAATCTCACAAAACCTGTAGTCGTCGGGTGGGGTAGGTCTTTACCCGTCAAGTATACGTATAGCATTTTCATCGCGTACCAAGAAAGTCAAAAGGCATTTTAAACTTGTAAGGTCTACTTATGCTCGAAAATATTTCTTGCGGTCAACTGCAAGGTACATTTTAGTAGCAACAATACTACCAATTTACGACCGACTGAAGATAGACAGTGTTCTTGGCGCGAATAGCAATATTTTAAAATAAGCAAATATTATTTTTTAACATTGTTCCCGTTCAGTTTATTTAACTCTCGCGGGCTACCAAAGTCGTCTTCGCGGTCGTCCTCTTGGCCATCACTGCCATATTATTATAGTAACATCATTGTATTGTTCCTCAGGGCCCGATGTGGCGGCTGATCCGCGGCTGCGGGCTGTCGTACGGGTACGGCATCCGGCCGTCGCAGCACGAGGCGCGCTTGGCCTTCTCGCTGTACCGCGCCAACAACGCCGTCGCCGCCTACTCCAAGACTAAGGCTATCGTGGTGAGTGGACATCTATAACGCTTATAACCTTGCCAGAACAGGTGCATTACAGAACGGAAATAAATATTCTATTCAATTTCAGTCAAGAGATTAACGCCCGTATTCAAAAACAATTCTTCCTTAAGCGAAGCAGCAAATCGAACGCACAGCGTTGAATAGAGCTTTGTGATTGGTTCGTATGTCACCCTGTGCGTCCACGCGCACTATGAGACCTTATAGTAAAGTTTGTGAATACAGGCGTCTATCCTGACAGAACGTCAAATCTATAAATCTTTTCTTGAAATTGAATTCAGTTTAGAGCTTCGTTCTAAGATTAAGTGTTTGACACTGTCAATTGTATGACGTACTTTTCTATGACTTGTCAAATCAACTCAATGACTATAGATGACCCACGCTGAACTGTCCCACCAAACTAAATGACAGGGGGGCGCTACCATCGTTCAACTATATGGTTTCCAACATGGCAAAAATCGGAACCAGCGATTCGGTCTTGACTGTGGCGCCCCACTGTCACTGTCATGGATAGGACTTTTCAGTATTTTGGAACTATAGCAAACTAGTCACCTAATTTATGTAAAAAACTCCTTTTTAAATGTTTTAATGAAAAACTAGATTTTAATGGCTTTATAATTTACTTTTGCCCATTTTCACCATCAATCCCTAATTTTTATATGTAAACAAAATTCCTGTTATTTGTTACCATAGGGGTCACTTAAAAATTAGGAATTGATGGTAGAAACAAGCATTATTGTATCTTAAGAGCTTGCCGAATGCCGACCCATGGCCTAAGCTATTCTGATCCAGTCATGTTTCATCACGTCGATCATCCACGTGGTTTCCAGGAGGAGTTCTTAGCGGGCGGCACGTTCGACGAAGAACTATTCGCGTCGGCCAAGAGCACGGCGCTGTTCGAGGTGGTGCAGACGGAGAAGTGCCCGGCCGACGTCGTGTGCCAGTCGCTCTGCAACTACGTGCGCGAGGTGCCAGCCACCTACACGCGGTAAGCTGACAGTTTAAGTGTTTTTTAGGCTTGATTTCCTCCTACGCTGACGTCGGTCGCGTACATCGGTCGAGCGTACGAATAAACACAATTTTCTATGAAGCATCGCACTGCAACGCCGTCGTCAGCGGCAGATGATTACATAGAACTAGTGTGTAATCGTGCGCGCCGCTGACGTCGGTCACCGATGTCAGCCTAAAAGGAAATCAAGCCTTGGGGTTCCGTAGTCCTGACAAGGAACCCTTATAGTTTCGTTATTTCTGTCTATCCGTCCGAGGTTTCGCTTGGAAAGTTTGCACTAGGGAGCTGTAATTTTGTGGAGATATGTATATTAATCACGCCGACAAAACGGTAGAATTAAATTTTGAAAAAAAAAAATTTTTAGGTAGCTCCCCTACATGTAAATTGGGGATGATTTTTTTTTCATCTTCTACCCCATCGTGTGGGGTATCGTTGGATAGGTCTTTTTAAATGACTTAGGGGTTTCTAAGACTATTGTGTTAACACGGACTACTACGGAACCCTACACTGCGCGTGGCACGACACGCACTTGGCCATTTTTTTTACGACAGAGACTGATATCAGACGTCAGCGGCAGCTTCGTGGTAGGTTTAGGTAGGGTAGTCACTCACAGTTTTGTGTCGGCGTCACGAAGCTCCCTACCACCAGGGTGATAAATGCCATCTATTTGGTGTCAACCAAATTTGTGTTGATGGGAGGTCATAAATCATCATCATCAGCATTCAGCCTATGGCAGTTCACTTGAACGTAAAAGTCTCCTAGGAACTACTCAGCACGATCTGCTTGTTTTATGAAGCTGCTGTCAGGTATTTTACTGAAGATATTGTTTTAAAAATATCTATACTATCTTTTGTTTACTTGATATCCATATTATAGAGATACTCTTGATGTCCCTTCAAGATTAGATTCAAGATAAGAAACGAGGCGAGTGCAAGTTATGTTTTACCACGAGACTATTTATGTAGACGTCAGGCAACTATGCCAGCAGTGTACAGCTACTATAATTATGCCAATAGTCTACCGAAACATTTTAAATGAGAAATGGAATTTTGTAATGCCACCTGGAGGGAAAGTACTCTTAATATTGTAGATAGAAAATTTCTCTCAAAGACATTCTCTCCTTTATTTTTGAAAAGAAATAGAACTACATTCAAAAAATTCCAAAAATTAGCTTGCCGCACCCGGGAATCGAACCAACTAAAATCTGTTAAAAATTACACCCTGTATATAATCCCTTCCCTCCCAGTGAGCTGGTGTGCGCGATCGCCGCGGTGACAGCGGAGGAAGCACGTGAAGCCGCGGTCCGCTGGCTGGGCTCGCTGTTCACGCCGAGCGCCGCGCTCGCCATCGTCTGCCACCCCACCAAGGTCGCAGACATACAGACCGCCTTCGACAAGTGAGTCTTCGAACTATATCTTATCAAGCAAACAAATGGATTTTGATCTTTTTTAAGTTCTTGCTTCGAAGTAAATAAATAAAGGCATGTATTTAAATGATCTTTTTAAATTAGCAAAAACGGCAAATAAAAAAATCTATTTGGTCATCTATTTAAATGATTGATCCTCTTTCTTTGAGACATAAAATAAATAAAATCGATCGATATTTTAACCTCATTTGAACTACGCAAAAAAAATTTGAGATGTAAAAATTATATCTGATCGTTACTTGTTGGTCCTCAAAAATAAAAGAAATGAGCACCAAATATTCAATATTGTGATACTTTTTTAAATAATTCGATTTGTATAAATTATTTTTTGTCTTTATCAAATAATCTTCAAAATAATTATGTTATGGTACTTATTTTTATTAAGTTGTAGTCAAAGGATGGAAACTATTTAAAGGCGCTTGATGTTCAAAGATTTTTTTTTATTAAAAAAGCATACTTAACACGTTCACACTGCGTTATCGGGTCGAATTGACCTTAGGTGCTGGATGCGTTGGTGCGGGATGGATATATTCGGTCTTTTCAGTAGTACGAAAGATAAATATTGTTTTGCAATTGTTTCGTCAAACACAGTAAATATTTGAAAAAAAAACTTATCAGGTCCTTACGACCCGATGTCGCACTAAAAGTAAACAAATATCGTTTAGTGCTTTTATCGTGTCTAATCGACCCGTTGACAGATGACTTTATGGTCACTGAGCACGGTCGAGATCGGTATACTAAGAGAAAATCAACCTTGCGATTTGAAAAAAATAAAGAGGTAAAAATTATGATGTCGGGTTCAGGGATGTCAGAAGTAAGAAATTATTTTACATAGCGCCTCTAGTCCCAAACTAAGCAAAGCTTGTAATTTAAACAAACATGGCAATGTACCATTCTGCTTGCTTATTGGCCGCTAAGCCCTTGGCCAACTCAGTAACCAATGACGGACGATTGTCACTCAACCACAAAGTACCGCGTAAATTAAAAGATATTTTTTAGTTAAAAATATTAACCAATAATATTTTTTGTTAGATCAAATATATTTTAAAGTTAAGTTATACATAGATCGAAATGTATTTATTAGGTGATCAATAATAAAAGGCAAACTTGATATAAAAATCATCAAATTAACAAAATTAAAGATCAATAACTAAAAAAGAGGATCAAATATTATTTTTGTTTACCAAATATTAAAAGAGTATGTTAAACATAAATATTATGTTACCTTAAATGAAGATCATTCATAATTTATCCGTAGATCAACTAATATAGACCCAATAATTAATTTAAAGATAAAATATAATAAAATACATCATTTATTTTTAAAAGTGCACATACAAAAAAGATCAATTAGTTTTTAGAGGATCAAATAATATTGTCCCATAAATAAATACATAATCTTTGAACAATTTCACACAGCACCAGCTAGCCCCAAAGTAAGCAACTTAATGCTTGTGTTATGGGTGCTAGCTTAACGGATATACTACTTATATACTTTTTTTTAAATACATAAATATTATACATAGTCACACCCAGACCCGTCACAGAAATTAAAATTCATCATTTCAATTTCTGCCCGGCCGGGAATCGAACCCGGGACCTCTCGGCATAGTAGTCCGTTCTGAACCACTACACCAAACGGCCGACAAAGTCTTCTTATATTCGTCTTTCGAACCTCCCCTATACTTATTTCGAACTTCTATACCTATTCTTATTTCGAAAAATAACAATAATATGGGAATATCCTCCTATCATTTTTCGAAGTCCTCCTTTCGAAGAGGAGTCGTAATAAGTATGTTCCAAACTCCTATTTCTCACGCTTTTTTCTTCCCGATATTTCAAACTGCACACCAACTTGTTACTGATGTTTTATTTCTCTCAGGATTGGCGTGAAATTGGACGCATTTGAATCCATGGAGGCGTCCCACTTCAACAACTGAGTGCTGCTATGTAAGCATAAGTATACCTCTACCTACATTATAAATACATGAACCGTATGTAATTTTATAAGTATTTTAAATAACCGGATTATTTAAATGTATAAGTATAACGAAAGATGAATATGTATAAATAACGCAGAATTTTAATCTTTTAAAGTGACTGTTTCTTGGCTGTGCCTTATTTTAAATATTGAAAAACACTATCTCCAGCTCAAAAACGCCCTTTTTGTTAATAACATTCACATAATTATTAGTGTTTAAGTAATAAATATTTACATTAATTGTAATCGCGTTTTGTGTTAAAGAAATAAAAAGCCATTTATTAAATATGATAATCATTTTAATTACCATTTATCTTAAAGCTATGTCTATACAAAAAATATAACTTAACTTAGTCAGATATTTAGTGAACATCTTTATAAATCATCTCACAACCGCTGCAACACCTGCTACATAAATTCTCAAACCCATCCATAGAATAATATCATTGTTCAACATTGTTTTAACATAAACACCGTTTTCAACAAATTAAAAGAATGTAGTGGAAACGTCTTATATTAATCAAGTTTAACAACTAGCTAGCCACTTTCGCTCGTAATGTAGATTACAGAGAATTGAGCTTTACACTACATTCTAAGCCCTGCGATAGAAGATAATATTTTATAGAATATTAACATCACGAGTGTCTAACGATATAATTTCAATTTGTAATTTTTGAAACAGGTGACCTTTATTCATTTTTAATGAAATAAAATGGTTTACATTTTTTTTTATTTCATCCATTATTAATACTGGTTAATAATTTTGTTAGTAATATATCATTGAAATGCGTGTTTAATGAGGTACAAAAATAAACTGGCCTTTTAGATAAGAGTGAGACATTCATTCCGCTAGTAGGCCACGTTACTCTTCCCACCACCCGCTACTGGTGAGATACATATATTTATAGCAATAGAATTATGTATATTATATAATTTATCCATACGAGAACATAGAGTTGCATTGTACACGCAGTTATATTTACAAGTTTTATAATAAAATTCTTAACATTTACTTATAGAGAAATAAAACTATTCTCAAGTAACAATTTTAAATTATGCATTTGATATGCTTTCGCATATGATTGCATGTCAGCACCATTTTGTTGAATTTCAAGTTTACAACTGCAATTTAAATAATACTTTTATTAAGATCGAGTTCTATTTTTTCGAAAAGGACCATAATCTGTGCATGAATTGTATCTTCGGTAGTGCTTTGAAGGGAGTTTTGGTAATGTTAAATTATTAATTATGTGTACAATCTAACAATATTACTATTAATAATAATAATTCACTAAAGAATATCTACTTGTAGAATATAATTCTCTAATAAATGACCTAATTACATTAATATTATTAAAACTACGTAATAATTAATTAAAGAGGCGGCCCCATTTCCATTACCTAACGTTGCAAGATCATTCTCGTCAGTGGAGGAGACGAACAGGTCTCGCACTGACACGTCGAAGCATTGTCCTTTTAAAATATTTCAGTCACATTGGGGCTTAATCAACAGACATTTCAATAGTATTGTCTTTAACAATAAAAAAATAAAACGCTCCTATTAACATATTATGGCATCCGCCTTGAGTTTTGCATATATTTCAGTGTAACAATACAGATGCCCCTTGAATTTTTTATAACTCTCGTCTTTCAATATTTACAGAGATTGTCCTCTAGAGAACCATTGAATTATTCACTTTAGAAAGGCCGTAGTGTCATTTACGTACGCCGCGAAAACAATGACAGTACGTAACGAAGAAATTCAAAGTTCATATTTTACCTGTCTTTATACGAGCAAAACAACACCTAAAAACTAACGAAGAGAAAGAAGGTACATTCAACATAATCCATTAGGTACAATGTATTTATTATTATCTTATTGTTCTCGGTATGTAAAGCATTCTAGTTAACAAAGTTAAACGGTAGGTTAATGACCTATATTAAAGTGATTGATGACATGAAATCTGACTAAGAATAAACTCGGGACAGAATCTACGTTCGATCTTAGATTCGGAAATAAAAGTCAGAGCAGCGGATATCTAAATCTTTTGCAAAATCTCGAAATAAGATATTACAAAAATAGAGCGCATTTGTTATCTTTTTGGTTTTTACAAATAATAATTACGGTGACCTCGAATATTTTAAATGAAGTTCAACCGTAATGAGTTTATTTATACCTAAGACAATTATTATACAGTTCGTGGCCGGTTGGTGTGGCTTAGTACAGAGGTGCCCGGATAATTTTATACATTAAAAGGTGAATTTGCTGTTTATTAGTCAACTGGTGGCGTCTTGAATGTAATTTTTAGTGTCAGATTGTTTTTTGTAGTAGAGCATGCTAAACGCAGAGGCAGTGTTGTTTCTCACATAAAGGTGTATGTTGTCCGCTGATGATGCCATACGCTATATCGATTAATAATACGATCCAGTGTTGTTTATTGCACCAAACTGGTTTTTAAAGAATGAACCCTAATCGAACTGCGTATGGTCACCATTCGCGGACGCAAGTAGCGAACGAATGAATGTATGCCAATAAATCGACAGATCGCCTAGAGATCATCTAAGGATCGACTGATGCGTAGCCACAAGTTGTAAGCGCAGCGTAACTGACGCGAGGCGTAACTCGGGGAGAGATGTAATGTATCGTAGACAAGGTAACAGCATAAAGTTAATATACCTAGAGGAATAGAGCAACAAAGAACTGAGCGAGCGAGATGTCACTAGCAGCAACACTGTGTGATAAGAAGAGATGCGTGATGCCGTCGCCGTCACGTCGAACAGAACCGTTTTTGGATATTGTGGATGTTTATGAGAAAAAGTGCTTCAGAAACGTAGTGAATGTTTCAGTGATTGATTACAAAACAGTGAAATAATCCTGACACTAACACACAAATGATATCCAGTGTCATCCAAAATCGGTTTCATTTGACAGCTCGTGGTTGTTGCCTTATTCCGAAGGAATATTAATTTATGGGTAACAGACTCCAAAAACTGTGAATCGTCGAGTCGTGATATCTGAGTGGCAAGCGCAGTGTAACCGACGGGGCGCGGCCTAGAAGATGGCAGAGGCATATCGTACCCAGGTAACCGACCAACCGGCTTCTAGACCACGATTGTTGACTGACTTAGCGCTATGCTAAATCGAAACCGCATGATAGTTAGCCTATAAGACGTGCGGCAACCAACTCTTAGAACGTGCGGTTTGTCGACTAGTCATAGCGCTAAGTCGCAAGCGTATTTTAACCGGCGCAGTGTATTTCTGGGGTTCGGCCTAGATCACGATGGCGTCGTCATAGCATATTCAAAGCGCAGGGTGTATTCGCTCGCCTAGAACAGAGGCGTCAATATATACAGGTAACCGACTCCTAGATCACGTTGATGGTGTACTGGTGAAACGTCGCCGACTCGTCGCTGCGCTTGCGACGAGTCGGCCTGCAGTCACTTCCTAGCATGGCGGAGGCGTTGGTATACACAGCACGTTGATTTTCGACTGGTGATGTCGCCGACTAAGACTTTACAGTCGCTTCCTAGAGCATGGCGGAGGCGTTGGTGACTTTCGACTGGTGATGTTGCCGACTGAGACTTGTCGTATAGTCGCTACCGAGAGCATGGACGAGGCGTCAACATACATAGCACATTGACTGTCGACTGATGATATGTCGCCGACTAAGACTTTACAGTCGCTTCCTACAGCATGGCCGAGGCGTCAACATACACAGCACGTTGATTGTCGACTGGTGACATGTTGCCGACTAAGACTTTACAGTCGCTTCCTACAGCATGGCCGAGGCGTCAATATACACAGCACTAAATTGTCGACTGGTGATATGTCGCCGACTAAGACTCGTACAGTCGCTTCCTAGAGCATGACCGAGGCGTCAACACACACAGCATTGATCGTCGACTGGTGACACGTGACTTGTCTTACAATAGCTTCCTACAGCATGGCGGAGGCGTCGATAGGCGGCGCGTGCGTGCGCAGCGCGTCGCGGATGTAGGCGGCGATGGAGGCGTCGGCGACGAGGTGGAAGAAGAACAGGTGCTCGAAGCTCTTGAGCGAGATGGAGCGCAGCGCGGGCAGCCGCAGCAACAGCGATGCGAAGCGGCCCTCCTCCGTGCCGCGCGAGCGCCGGCAGTACTCGTCGAGGCACGAGTACATCTGCACACAAATACGAATAAGGTGACACCACTATACGATGTTCATGCTTTTTACGAGCTGTTAAAACGCGATTCTTGTGGGTAGAATATAAGCCATTTGAGTTTTTAAGACGAGCATGTGTCGCAGAAATCTATACTATCTATACTAATATTATGATGCGAAAGTAACTCTGTCTGTCTTGCTTTCACGCCTAAAGTACTGAACCGATTTTGATGAAATTTGGCATAGAGATAGTTTGAGTCCCGGGAAAGGATATAGGATAGTTTTTATCTTGGTATTAGAAACAGGGACGCGCGCGATAAAGTTTTTCTGTGACAAACAAAATTCCACGCGAGCGGACAGCTTGTTATTGATAAATGATATCGAATTGATGTCTAATTAGGCCTTGTCCAGACAGCTATAATCGCACGGATGCTGGGCCCATGAGCCCATGAGAACTTTATATTTTATATTTTCTAAAGATTAAAATATAGTGTTAGAATTGCAAGATCCCGCACTTCTTTTCAAATATTGCATTGAGGTGAGCTCTGTCTGAAGCTAATAGATATCAAGTTTAGTTGTGATTAGATAACTGAAAAAATGAACTATACCTTTTCCCGAAGTACTTCGACTTCCTGACGGTTCTTCAATCCTTTTACATCTGAAATAAGAATTGATAAATTAATTATTATAATCGTCATAATTTTAATATATCAAGTTTTTAGTAATTTCAAAATACGTGGCAGGGTTGCGACCTCAGTTGTTACAATTAACCAGCGATGAGCAGACTTACGGCCTTGCCACACTGGCAGATTGCAAGCGTCCAGAAAACGCTTGCAATCCGCCAGTGTGGCAAGGCCCTTAAGCTGTGTTTCACCATCTTACTTTAACTTTGACAAACGTCACAAATTAATTAAGTTATCATTGTAATTTTATTGAATTGTATTCTGTGGTAGACCTTTAAATAAATAAATCTGTTCAACTCCATACAAAAAACACTAGTTATCGTTCAAATCCAAACGGTCAAAGTTAGGTCTGCACCACTCAGTCTTAGGCTGGGTTGCACCATCTTATTATAACTTTGACAAACGTCAAAAGTCTGTCAAACTCCATACAAAATACACCGGTTATCGTAATAGTTACTGCTAAAGTTAGGTCTTAATGTCTATCATAAGATTCATAAGGGAAGTGGATCGAGTTGTTACCGCCCCTTAAGAAAGAGTATGTTAGTAGTTACCCGGGTTGAGCAGGATGATGGCCTTGAGCGCGACGTACTCGGCCTGGTCCATGCGCAGCGCGCGCATCTTCAGCGACAGCTCCGACAGCACGCGGTCGAAGATCTGCCCCACGCCCGCCTGCAGCGCCGAGTTGCGGTGCAGCGTCATGCCTGCGAACACATTCATGCGGCACACTGAACACCAGCGCCGTGGCCTTCGTCACCGTGGGCCACGCCATATGCTGAGTGGGGTCCCGTTGCAGTGGGCATCTTGTTTGTGAATGGGTGGCACTGCTCAGTTTTACTCTTGTTTTTATTTTATCTTCTTCCATTATTTGTGTGAAGTCCATTGTAATAAATGTATTTTTATTTCTTTCATATTTTTAATCAGTACTAGTTTTCGCCCGCGTGAATTTCGGTCTGTCAAATCAAAATACCCAAACCTTGGCATTAAAAAGCCTCTTTCTTCCATAGTCCAAAGTCGTATTCTCGCTTTCTTTGGCCATATCACACGTGGAGACAAAACAAGCGCAATGCAAGTCGCAAGTAAGTCTGCATGCAATGCGTGACGGATTGTGAAGCTTATCACCATCCCAGGTGTGAAGACCACCACGACTCCAGAGTTTAGCGACGGAGAAGGACTTTTTGAGTTAACAGAGACAGAGGCGACAGAGGACTTTATTTTTATTTTATGTAGTGATTGACCATTTTTTTCTATCGGGAAATGCTTTGCACATACCCACTGGTCGATACGACGACCAGTATGTGGGACTCGCCCCGCAAGAAGGATACCTACTACCTGCCTACCCACTAAAACCCGAAGGTCTCCTCCGAAACCAATGAAACGGAGGCGCAACTTTTATCCTAACTCGGACTTTCGCCCGCGACTCGTGTAGTGATTGACCAAATGCGACTAACACACATCCAATAGTGGATCATACAGCGGTCTTTAAAATGTTTTAAAAGAAAATTTTATATTTTGTTCCAAATGAAAAAATCTTACGCGAAAGTTCAACTTACCAGGCATCAAGCACATGAGCTGTGGCGGCGAAGAGCTTCGCGTGCCATCCATGTTTTCACGCTCATCCGTCAGGAACTGAAACCAAATACATACATCGTGAAAGAAAATCTCAAAACTGCCTTATATCATACTTTCAACAACATCACTTGATTTTTTTTGCTGTAAACACATCTTAATCGTTGGAAATTATAGTCTTTTTCACGTAAGATGATCCGTATGACACTTCAAGGTTATCCATATTACGCATACTACACATGCAGAATATTTTTGAAAAAATATTTGTATTTTATTAGCAATATAATAAAAAAAAATAACTACCTTGTCTTAAAATATATAGTAAAATCTGAGTCTATTGATTATATTTTAATTAAATACGATATAAAAATATTTTTTATTTGATGTACGCAATGTGTGAAACGGAATAGATTTAGTGCTGGGGTATTTCTTGTATAATAAAATCGATTATTTCCGCGGTTCATTAATCGATTGAAGTGAATACTTAGTTATTAAAAACATCACAAAAATCAACTATATTTTTCGATTATTGACTTTAATAAACGCATTAAAAATAAATTAATAGTTTTTAATTTAAAGAAACAGAACCAGTGCTTTTTAGGAATCGTTTTTTTGAACACGAACCATGAAATTTGAATATTATCAATAAAAAATTGTTACAATAATTTGTAATTAAAAAAAACATGCTTTTTTGTTAAATAACACCTATACAAAATATTTCTCTAAAAGTAGGTTTTACTAACTCTTCGAAAAAATCGATAGATAAATCGCTATGGTTTAGTTATGTGACATCTCTAAATCTTTCAAACTCGAAACGTCATACGGATCATCTTAGGTGAAAAAGACTATAGAACTAAAGCACTATTTTCAGTTCACTTAAACTACCCATTTCGTTGGAAACAAGATATTCATGCCGATAAGCCTGTTGAATAAATCAACGCCCACGCCCTTTAAAATTTTTAGACGTCTTTCTTTGAAATAAATTTCAATAGAAACTAGAAACGCCCCTCAGTAAAGTGGAAATATTTAATATTACACAATGTTCTTTGATAAATTAAATCAAGGCTTTGTTATATAAAACTGTAATTCCTTTTTTACGTTTTTTAATAATGCCTTTGATCTTGACTGGTATAGTTCTAATCTGCCTTAACTACGATACCTATTCGCAATTTCTTAATAATAATTATTTCATTTTCTTTTTCTTTGTTGAAATTTAATCAACTTTCTTGAAGTGGTTTACATTTGCGCGAGTGTAAACAAGTCGTTAATGTTTTTAAGGCAATCAGAGGGTATATTAATTTAGGTTGGATCGGTCTCTGTAATTTTAAAATAATACAACGAAATAATAATGATAGTGTTGAAAAGATAATTTTCTATATCTAGCTAAAAAGCTATCGAGGCGATCGGGAGAAAATGTTTTCAGTTCATAAGCAATCTGTTAGAACTTTTGTATCATCAAGGCAAAATAATTAGGGCAACCACACCGGGCAACAATGTTTTAGTAGGTCATAATAACTTTCCATTAAAATAGGTCGTTCGTATGAACGTGAATGTAAGAAACACATTTTAAAACAAACGGTGACGTTATTATGGCCCAGCTTCTGCGAGGCGAGCTTATGAGGAGAGAATGGGCAAATCTTATTTTAGGCAGGATACCCAGCACTGAAGAAACGTGGCATGTAGGTGGGGCATACCATTACTAGGGGAGGGGAGCTTACACATTGGGACTTTTTGCAGCGATACAAACGCGCGTTTTACAGTCACGAGGCTGTATCGCAACGGTATCGCTGCTTTTAGTACTGCGTATGTGTTTTGCCACTGTTTCACTGTTTCGATGCTGAATCGTGTTTGCCTGCAATAACTCGCAAAGTAAAAGGGCCCTTTAGCCTTATGGTATTGAGTCGGATGTTACCTCCATCGAGCGCCACGCTATCGCGAAGAGCAGCAGCTCGTTCCACGCGCTCTTGATGAGCAGCACCTGGTCCTCCATCTCCAGCTGCCCGAAGTGCGGGATGTCGCGCGCCCACACCACCAGCGCCGCGATTTGTTTGTTACCTGGAACCAACCGCACAATACGGTTAAAACATATCTACACTTATAAAGAGGAATCATTTTTGATTGTCTGTATTGAATATAGGTTACGATACTAATGGGCCGATTTGAAAAATTCTATAAAAGATAACATTCGAGCCTGCCCGATCCAGTAACAAATATTTTTCTAAAAATAAGGCTTCGTTCGTATTTATTTAGCTATATTTTGACATAGGTATTATCTGTATGGGGTCTTGTAAAACGGTTGGTGAAAATCGACTCAAATATAAAAGATTTCCAATTTCTCAACGTCAAAAACTTATTGTTTTTTATTTTCTCAAAAATTAAAACATACGTATATCGCAATGCAAACGATGAAAGTTCAAATGGATCGTAAATTCTTTTCGCGCAACAACCTAAGCGCTTTATATTTATTGAGATTGGCCCCAAAGGGTTAACACATAAAACACCTAGAAAAGGATATAAACCTGTTTTACAGGGGTACAAGACTTTATGACGCTGCTCTAGTTGGTACAGCAAGTTCTATTTACTTAATTTTTGTCACCGTTTCATTCAACTTTAATATTAACTTCCATTTTAAACGCACCATCAAATCGTTTACGATTAAACAAAAAGCATAAAGGTAATTAATCAAGTTTTAATGATGCATGAAGTCAATAAAACATCAATCAACACAATAATTTATTCACATATTGTTGATTGAGTATGAGCACATTGTAAAAGGTAATCTAATCCAACACATAAGTAGGACCTAAGAGAGGAATAAAAATAATCTTTTGATTCTATTTAATGAAGCATAAAAATCTGTAAGTATTTACATTATCTTGGGTGATTATAAACGGAATCCATGTTAATTAAAACTTGTTCGATTAATAATTTACACAGGGATACTGCAGAAATAACGTCGTCCCGGGCGAGGATAAAGCTGCAGAAAACAATTTCAAGCCGAGCAATAAATATTAATTATCACTTTCCCCTCCGGTCATTGTAAAATTCTAAGAACGAGATTGAGATAAGGATATTTTTTCTCCTTTGTGTTTGTGTTATCATCCCAAACGCAACCACACAAAGGGTTGGCATTTATCTCGTTTTGTTCACTCTTACTCGACTTTTATTAGAAAATCGTTTTACGGACGCATACCATAGTTTGAACAGAAGGCTAACTTTTATTGGTAACAACAAATACTTTTATGATGTCTGACTAATACTCAAACATTCCATGATGTAAAGTTAAAGAATTTTGTATAGATAAAACACAAAAAGTACGCATTTTTGTGGAACGACGACATTACAAACCAGTTTCGCGTTATATAGGTACGCTATATAATTATGTACATAATACATATCTGCGTTCCTTCGCTTTTTGTAGTGTGTGGAATTTATTTACGCCGCGTAATAGAGCCACACCAATAAAACATAGGGACAAGTTGCAGCCTGGACAGCGACAGAGGTCGCGCTAGTAATTGAATCAATCATAGCAATAAAAATAAACTAGTAAATCGATTACTTACGTCGCGAATGATATTCGTTTCAAATCGATTAAAAATAAGTGAATGATCGTGGAATCTTTAAGATTAGACTGTTTCACACCTATTCGTGGTCTATCTATACTAGAAATAACAAGGAAACCTGTTTTTACATTAAAATATGGACAATAATAAATATGCCGGTAGATGACGTGCATTGGGCACGTGAAGTTTTAAAAGACTTGCTTGTTTGCTAAATAAACAGACTATTTATATTGCAATAACATCTAGAGCCAAATGTTTTATACCTAGAGCGTAAAGTACAGTCACTATTTGTGTATGAAAAGTACGGAATTTTTGGTCGCAAAGATCATAGAATTAGAATATGGCTCAGCTCGACACCAACTCACAATTTCGTCCTTCGTTGTCCTGTTGTATCACGACAATACCTTTTATCGTAATGTTTGTCGTACTCGTATCGTACTTGCCACGTCATTCATATATCACTTTGTTTTTCGTGACCATTTCGCATTTAAAACAGCGTTGTTATTTATTTAAGTTATTTGAAGAAATAAACGATTACTAATGTACATTGGACTCATTAATCTGCTTAATCAAATTACACCAGTATAATTAAACGTTTTGCAATTGCAATAAAATCCACGACATCATTATGATTAGTGCTCATTGATTTATGACCTATCACTTTATTTCCTAATCTACCTACTTGTTTGTATTTTCATCATGACACCAACCCATGATGTTTCTAGTCAATTTTGCAATAAAATTCATGACTTCTTTATAATTAGTACACATTATGCCTTACATACTATAATTCATAATATACTTGCTTGTACTTTCATCATGACACCACCCCATGACGTTGCAATAAAATCCACGACATCATTATAATTAGTGATCATTATTACTTACTTTATTTCGTAATCTATTTATTTGTATTTCATCATGACAGACCACCTATGACGTTGCTAGTCAATTCTGCAGCGTGAAATAGCATCTTTATAATTTATTGAAATTACTGAATCTCTCGTCACGTACCCGTTAGAATCGATTAATTAAGGGTGCGATACCGAACCGATAGGCATCTTGTCCGAGTATTAGGAATATTTAAGCCCGGAGAACCCTAATTTACATTTGGTTTAAGCTTCATCTCCTAAAGGGATAAAATAAAGGTTTTTTTCGGATTTGTTATTGTTAGCGTGAGTAACCTAAACGTTAATATAACATACAGGGTGGAAACGTTAAGTGATCTCACTCGATTATTTCTAAACTATACAGGATATCGAAAAACTGGTTACTGATCCTGAAAGTGCTTCACGAGCTCTTTCAAACGGCATCAGTAGTAGTTTACAGAATTAACTGGATCTATCCGAAAATTCAATGTTTTCAGCCTCCATACTAAATGTATTCCAGCCACACAATATTAGAAGTGTTAAATGTTTTTAAAAAGTAATAAACACTTATGGAAAACATTGGTTTCAGACTTTATTTGCTAAAATATTATCAAGATATGAGTGCCATGACTGTGGCAGTACTAAATGTATGGAAGCTGGAAACATTGAATTTTCGGATAGCTCCACTTTATTTTGTAACTTATTATTGGTACCGTTGGATAGAACTCGTGAAGCACTTTCAGGATCAATAACCAGTTTTTGGATATCTTGTATAGTTTAGAAATAATCGAGTGAGATCACTTATCGTTTCCACCCTGTATAATCGTTTTTCTGTTGATGAATGTGCATGATTGTATAAATTTTAGGGTTCGGCCAAACCAACGCGTGCAGCCTGTGTGCGCGATGGCGATCCTACTGATTTCCACTGATCACCATCGTCATCGCGCACGCAGGCTGCACTGCACGCGTTGGTTTGGTCAAACCTTTAGTGGTCGAATAAAGAGTTTTACTTTCTTTCTAACATTTAAACACTGACCTATTTGACAAAGGCTAGAGTCATAGTAAGATTTTAAAAGCTCACCTATAAGGCTAGAGTTACAGTACGATTCTAACGCTCACCTATTTGACAAAGGCTAGAGACGGGAGCGCGGAACTTGGGGGGCACGTTGCTGTCGGGCCCGACCCGCAGGAACTGGCACTCCTCGCTGGTGTCCGCCACCAGCGACTCCATCTCCAGCAGCCGCTCGATCGACAGCTCCTGTAACAAGATACGGAGATACAGGACTTGGTACTGGTAAGTGCGGAAGGGCTTTATTTATTTGGCATCTTTCATTTGCGTGTTAGTTAGAGGGATAGACTTCCCTCCCTAAACTTTAAACTCCATTGTCAAAGAGACCGCGGTGGTATACCGTCTAGATACGTCGCAAAGGTAACAAAGGCACTCTTCAGAACGTATTTTTTCATCCTTCTATATTTGAGAAATGTCGACGCGGTTCTCAAGATTTCCTCCTGGAAACTTAACCATCAATGGCAGAAATTTAGGCCTGGTTCAAACACAGCGATAATCCCACGCTAACCGCGAAGTTTCTTGGTGGTTCTCATTGGCGAGGCACCGAGGCAATAATTTTTGCCAGGTTTGATACAAATATTTTAACAACTGCTCAGAAACCGCGCGGTTATCCGTTCTGAACCAAGCCTTATTGACGGTTAAACTAGACCAGACGGAACGTACAATACGAAAACAGTGTTATTGCCTACCTTGGATTACCGAGTTCCATTTGATTTCAAACAGTGCAGTAGTGGTGTAAATTTTTATCTAAGACAAGAAACAATTTATTATTATCTATCTATACCTACCTATTACGATGTTTTAGCTAGTCGGTGCGATGCCGACTAATGTCACCTTTCGTAAATAGCTAATAAATAAGTTAGTAATTGGTGCGTCTGAAAAGTATTTGTTTTAAAGTTAACTAGGTCGAAAATACAGTTGAAAAATAAAAAGACAAATCGACAAGAAACCCGATATGTACTTAGATTTAAGATGTTTGCACTATAACGACCCAATAAATATTGTTTAATTGACTGCACCAAATATAAATATTACCTACAATGATGCATTATGGCTTCTTGCCATTTTATGATATTTATGAGGTACAATTTACAATTTGAAAAATGTAACCTATTCATCTTTTCACTTGAAAGCAAAGGACATTGTCAGAAACCGCCTAAAAAACCGCCCAAAAACATTAACCCATCATAATTATTTTCTATTTTTTTTAATACATTAAGCACCCTTTCATTCTAATGGACACTTAAGCATTGAAAAATTAAATAAATAAGTCTTTTAACGTTTATTCTACAGGNAAATGAACGTATAAAATGAGTTTATTTTTAAAAGTATAGGTACAGGGTGGAAACGATAAGTGATTTCACTTGATTTTTAATTATACAAGATATCGAGAAACTGTTTAATGTTCCTGTAAGTGCTTCATGAGCTCTTTAAAACAATAACAATAAATAGGTCAAAGAATAAACTGGATCTATGCGAAAATTCAATGTTTCCGAATTTCATACTAAATGTATGCCGTCAGCCATACCTACCATATTAGAAGTGTTAATTTTTGAAATTTAAATTTTTAATTGAGTAATATACACCACTAAATTTTAATCACCGAAAAAAAAAATTCTGGGTAATGAGTTATTGATACTGATCCCATTTGTGCAAAAAAAAGAGTAAAATAAAGTGACTCAAAATATCCTCCTAAAATTGGTAATTTATTGACACACGCGTCGCTAGCACTATTTAAGTACGATAATGTAACACTTATTAGAATTAAAAATGGTCTAAGTTAGCTAAGTATGTAATAATAACACTGGAAGCGTGGTCGAGGCGTGAGCGAGACAGACAGATCGATGCAACGTGCGAGCGCGTACGACTACTCTAGCAAGCAGCGGAGTGACCCAGCTGTAACGCGTAAAATACGGACTAACGAAAATTTAATAAAAAAATTAACTTCATGAAAACCATTTCTTTTTCTTTTGCTTTCAATATTCCACACGTTTCTACATAATCTGTTAAAATTTTTTCGGTGATAAAAATTTAGTGGTGTATAATAATCAAACAACAAACTCGTAAATTGCATTCTTATTTAAATTGTTTACGGAAAACATGATTTTAGGTTTAACTTGCTACAATATCATCAAGAGATACTAATTAATAAATACTAAATAAACAGATAAAGGGGACGGCATTAAGGCACTTAGAATTCTCAGAAACCATTGATTTCGTGTTTGTTTGTAACAGACTGTATTAAATGTATGAAAGCTGGAAATATAGGTTTTTGAATAGATTCAGTTTGTTCTTTTAAACATATCATTCATTGATGCCGTTTGCTAGGTCTCATGAAGCACTTTTTCAGTAAGTAACCATTTGTTCGACATCTTGTATACCTACTATAAGAAATATTCGAGTGAGATCACTTATCGATTATTTTCGTCATCCTTATTTGTATTAAATTTAATTAAAATACACTAAGGCTGAGATGCACCACCTAACTTTGACCCTAACTGACAATAACCGGTGTTTTATGTTAGACAAATTTTTGACATCCAAAATTTTGATGTCAATGTTAAAGCAAGACGGTGCAACACGGCCTAACAAATGTATCGTAGACAGTACTTTTTATTTTCTTTATAAATCTTTCTTTTCTTTGTAAAGCTATCTACAAGCTTTTATTTTCTTTGACATCTGGAGTTGTAAAATCTTGCAACTTAAAATTTACTTACTTCCCGTTTTCCCATTGAGCTGAAATTTTGCATAAAAGTGGAATGCCGAGTTGTATTTCTAAAACTTGTTCTATTATTTTATACTATTTGGCTGCGACTCGGCGTGACGACAATACAAAACATTTTTCGCGAATCGGTGTTCATACATTCACACAATACATTAGACGCCATGTTGTCATAAACGACATATTATAAAATCGCTGTGATTTAATATTCTTAATCATTAATTTTATGGCAAGTGTCCATCAGGAATCATTGTTCTTACACACAGAATCGTATTATTTCGCTTTCGGGTAGTAATATGTCAAAATTGTTGGTTCTTTAGGCGAACAATGTATGGAGAACGAACATTGTCCTTTTATTTTTGTTTATAAACCACTCTTCAGATCCTTAATCCATTGTGATTTATAGACTTTATTTCTTTCTTGTTATAAATAACATTAAGTTTTTTATACTCAACAATTTGCTACATAGGTATGTTTGGATCAATAAAAGGAACGGTATAGTTAGAAACAATAAAACACTAATTAATTCCGGGGGGTTATTTAGCTATTCTCTCAGTTCAAACAACGGGACATTTAATAAAAGACAAGGCAAATAAGTGTCTTTGATACGCAATAAGGGCACCCGTATACATATTAAATTACGCAATTTTCTAGTTAGGTAACAAAATATAATGCTTCTGCTAAATGAACCTGCAATTTGTATGATAGCTTCACTGGGTTTTATAAACCGGTAATAACTAGACCTATTAGATTAATATAGGTACATTTATTATCTGGCTATGAATAATTCGATACAGCACAACTTTTATGGAAATTATTGTTATTGTTCAGAAATCGACTTAAGCCCGTATTCACAAACGATGCTTGCTTAAAGTGAAGCGTTGAATAGAGTTATTTTAATTATTATTTATTTAGAGCTCTGTCGTGCGTCACCCTGTGCGTCCACGCGCACTGTGAGACCTCATAGTAATGTTTGTTAATACTAATACGGGCATTAGTCATGTAACAACAATCTTAGCAAAAGTTTTCATAGCGGCAATTTACTGTTTAATACTCCATTTTACACTATTTTACTAATATGAGTAAATATCGCACGCATGGAACGGTCACGTCACGTCCGATATAAGGCCGCAAATCGTTCTATCGCGACATTCGTGATATTTTATGTAAATTTTTTAAGCTACGGCAAATCAATCAAAACCAGGTAGGTACTTACTAAAGTTTCCAAAATCTGGCGTTATGTCGACTGTACAACTTTACCACGAATATCCTCGTGAATATTCGCCGATATAGAGTTTTGAATTGGATTTAAATGAATTTAACGGGACAGTTCGCATACCTCGTCCGAAATTCCTTTGCAGCCAAGTTCAACTGGATAAGTGTGCGCGTAGCCTATGTACCCAGTTACCTTCAAGGTCGTAGCCAGGGCGACGTGGTCCTGAACGCCCTTTCAGCCCTTTGTAGGCGCCCTCAAAGGGAAACCGTATCAGCAGCTACACACAACAATACAACATAAGTCTTATTCAACCGAAAATACTTAAAAATAACGTGTAAACGTGTTTTTGTATCGATATTCTCCGATAAAGCTTGTTATTGTATGCCCTTTGTACATTTAGGTATGTTACACACATGGTTCTTGAATGTGTTTTATAAACTTATTGTTGTATTGCTAATGAACACCTCACAGTCTGTTAGGTACTATCGATTAGCATGAGGCAAGTCTTAATTAAACTATAATACCTAACATCTAAATTGGTTTAAAACAAATCGCCGAGTAATATTGATGTTTGGTGTAAACAGCAAAGCGCGTGCGCGTTTAAAATTGTATTTTATTCGGCAAAATAAGAGATATTGTAATTTCACTCTCTGTGAATCACAAATTCCACCCATTATTGTCAACAAACTTTAAATTTTAAAAACTCCGCAGCGAATAGTAGTGGGCAAAACAAAAACACAGCTATTACGCAACACCTAGCTAGATAGTACCAGATTCGAGGCGTGACTGTAATGTGATTCGCCATGTTTTTCTGCAAACAACAAAGCTACATAGGTACTTTTCGATATCTTCTCCAAATATAAATTACGCAGCGTCATCAAGCCGCGGAAAACGAGTAAAACGACACAAGATCGATGGGATAGTCGGGCCATAAACAAAGAAATCTGTGGCGAGTCACCGGTCAAGTTATTTTTATTGCAGTCGTTTTAATTAATCGGACCGCGAGTCTTTTATTTCTAACGACCGTACGCGACCGTATCCCTGCGATTTTGTTGCATAAAAACACCACGCGATTCCTGTGTAGTCAAGTTATTTATGTTATTGTTATAAACCTTAACTAGGTAAGTAACATTGCAATACTCATTATTATACTATGGTTATAATAAGGTAATATAGATTGTTTAATTAAACTACTTTAAGAGAAGAGGCTCTACGGCTTTTTGCTAGGATACAACATGCGTTTAACGCAATTAAAATACGCGTGCACTTATGCGCACGCTCACGCACGAATATCGAAAATAACATATGTACACGGCAATGCAGGAGTGCGGACGAAATGGCTTATGGCACACCATAAATTTTACCAGCACTTCTGCTCCTGCTATGCCCTTGCCCATACCACGATTTGACAGTTTATGTGTAGTGCGTAAACTCTTAAGACTTCTTTTAAATTATGAGTAACATGTAATAACTGAATAAAACACAATAAATACACGATTAATAATCTCGTATATGGTAAAATCACACCAAAAACTTTTAATAAACTTGTCTGAACCAGAAAGTAGTTTTTCTCTTGTCTAACGCGAAGAAATAATCAGGTGAGCAATTAATTTTAAAACAAGTGAAGGCGTGCTGAAACCTAGTAACGCATTAATTAAGTCATAGGTGAAACGAGCAAAGTGGAATATTTACGCTAATTAATTTCCAAGTCGTTTTTGCGATGTTTTCATTGAAGTGAGTACTGTATTTGACGCACGAGTTAATTGCGTGTCATTCAAACGATAGCAAATTGACTCTGGTAATATTTATCGAATCAAATATCAACGTATCATCAAAGGTGCCTTCAATAAAAATAATGTCGTATCTGTTTACGCTCGTTTATTCCTAATTGAAGAATTTTTTCTACTCTCATTTGTTTCCTTCAATAAGTAAGTACCTACCGTTAATGTGAAATTTTCATTCATTGTGTTTTGTGAATTCGACTCTTAACTTTAACAGGTGCACTGGTGCAGTCACCAGCACATCAGGCCACATATTTTATTATTATTTTAATAGCAAAATTAACAAATTACTCGCATATTATAGTGATTGTGTGGAACAAAACCACTTCTTGTAATTACAAAGTGAGAGACAGACGTAGGTGGATCCTTCAAAAGGTTGGTAAACATCTTCGTGTTTTATATTCAAATATTGCCTAAATAAACAGTCGAAATAAATAATGAACATCTAATTCTGTCTTCAAATCATCGTGGCTGATGAACAATCCCAATTTCTGATAAGCAATCTTCAGAAGCGTGACTACGCTCGCTTTAATTATGCCGATCGGGCTAATTAGCTAATTTCACAGCCCATTGCCCAGCGGTGGGACAGCGGGGGCTCATTACATTTTATTATGATCAAAGATAAACATATCCAAGTAAAAGTGTTACTAAGAAACGTAATTCACAAAACAGTTTATTGCTGAAAATAACTCTCAAGGGCGCCTCCAAGCGCTAAATTGTGGGTTGTTGGAATACAAGTGTGGTGGCACATCAACGTTGAGATAACCTTTACAGACATACCATATGACCCCAGGTGGCCTGCTCTTTATATCTTGCGCCACTGCGCATTTCATGAGGCCTTCAATACACATTAAGCACTTTGAGCTGAAGTACAGTTACGAGCAAAAGTGACAGTAGAATAATTTAGGTCGACACAAAATTCATGATATTTTGGATGTGTACAGCTAATCAAGCAAACGTGGCGCTGCAGACACGGTACACAAAAGGCAGATTTTCAATGCTACAGGAAGATTAGTTAGATTAGAGAATAACATTATTCACATACATTTGAAACAAAAGCTGGGAAGAGGGGGATACATTTTCTTTGACAGAAATACACATAACTTCCTCACGAAAAAGCTCACCTTATACAAAAGCTGAAATTAGCAATCTCCAGACATTCAGCCTATTGCCACCTGTACCACAAATTTTATACGTCTGCATCAATACTTCTTTGTCGATTGAGCTCACCTGCACAGTACTGCTTGGGTCTTCTGTCCTAGCCATGACGTCCTGCCATAGCTGCCATTCCTCTCGCTTTCTCTCACGCGTCATATTACGCGCTTCTGCTAGACAATCCCGGTATAGTTGAGTCCAAGCCTTTTTGCGAAAGAAAATAAACCTAATAATAATATTTGTTTAGATAAACTTGTCTGGACTGTTATTACTTGACTTTTGACATTAGGTTATTTATTTTGCATTGTTTGTTTGACATACTTAATTGAAAAAATTAAAGCTGTCCCTCCGTAACTCTTCACTTACGCTGCACCAAGACCCTTCAGAAAAGTGAGACCAAGGCCACCTGACCGTTCTATTCAGGTTCGTATCACCTATACAGATCACCTGTGAGAATTCTGTCTCTCTACCGCTAGCGTTCCTCCTGCCCTGTCTCACACTTCACATGCCACAGCTACACATCAGGCTACGTCAGTCATTTGTTTTCTAACTAGGGCTGTGCTCACCTGTACAAAACTGCTCGAATGAGCATCCTCTCTCTAGCTGCCCGCTGCCGCTTCTCCTGCACGATCTCCCACTTCACATGCCACATCTACACATCAGGCTACGTCAGTCATTTGTTCTCTAACTAGGCCTGTGCTCACCTATACAAAACTGTTCGGATGAGCATCCTCTCTCTAGCTGCCCGCTGCCGCTTCTCCTGCACTATCTGCCACTTCACATGCCACATCTACACATCAGGCTACGTCAGTCATTTGTTTTCTAACTAGGGCTGTGCTCACCTGTACAAAACTGCTCGAATGAGCATCCTCTCTCTAGCTGCCCGCTGCCGCTTCTCCTGCACTATCTGCCACTTCACATGCCACATCTACACATCAGGCTACGTCAGTCATTTGTTTTCTAACTAGGGCTGTGCTCACCTGTACAAAACTGCTCGAATGAGCATCCTCTCTCTAGCTGCCCGCTGCCGCTTCTCCTGCACTATCTGCCACTTCACATGCCACATCTACACATCAGGCTACGTCAGTCATTTGTTTTCTAACTAGGGCTGTGCTCACCTGTACAAAACTGCTCGAATGAGCATCTTCTCTCTAGCTGCCCGCTGCCGCTTCTCCTGCACTATCTGCCACTTCACATGCCACATCTACACATCAGGCTACGTCAATCATTTGTTCTCTAACTAGGGCTGAGCTCACCTGTACAAAACTGCTCGAATGAGCATCCTCTCTCTAGCTGCCCGCTGCCGCTTCTCCTGCACTATCTCCCACTTCACATGCCACATCTACACATCAGGCTACGTCAGTCATTTGTTCTCTAACTAGGGCTGAGCTCACCTGTACAGAACTGCTCGGGTGAGCATTCCTCTGTCCCCCTAACAGCCCGCTGCCGCTCCTTCTGCACTGTCTCGCACTTTAAGCCACACCCTGAGTCTGGCTACGTCAATAATTTGTTCCCTAACTAGCGAAGTGCTCACCTGTACAGAACTGCTCGGGTGAGCATCCTCTGTCCCCCTAACCGCCCGCTGCCGCTCCTTCTGCACTGTATCGCACTTTAAGCCACACCCTGAGTCTGGCTACGTCAATCATTTGTTCCCTAACTAGAGATGTGCTCACCTGTACAGAACTGCTCGGGTGAGCATCCTCTGTCCCCCTAGCTGCCCGCTGCCGCTCCTCCTGCACTGTCTCGCACTTTAAGCCACACCCTGAGTCTGGCTACGTCAATAATTTGTTCCCTAACTAGCGATGTGCTCACCTGTACAGAACTGCTCGGGTGAGCATCCTCTGTCCCCCTAGCTGCCCGCTGCCGCTCCTCCTGCACTGCCTCGCGCTTCATGCCGCACGCCAGACATTTCTGATATCGACAGTACTGGCATCTATTCCTCTGTCGCTTGTCGATGATGCAATTCCGTTCTTCGCGACACGCGTATGTGAGGTCCTTCCGTACTGTCCTCTTGAAGAACCCTTTGCAGCCTTCGCAACTAGAAAGAAATATTTTTTGTTTAGTGATGGATTCATCAAAACTCAACAGACATTATGTAAATTTTAAAATAAGTCACTTCAGATTTATGACAAGAGAAAAGTATCGAAAATGTTTGATAATTTCTTTGGAGGCGTTAAATGCCGTCTAAAAAAAACCATCTCGAAAATGTATAATTAATTATTAATTTATACCTCGTGCCTAGCAAATGAAGTCGATTGCAATAAAAAATATTTATTAGTTGTAATCCAAAAGTATATATGCCTCTCATAATAATTATTCATGTAATAAAATTCACAAAATTCATAAATTATATTCTGCATAAGCAGGCAACGTGGTGGCTCTATATGCTAAATGTCAAAAACATAAAAAGGTATCTATAATGACTATAAAACAATGCCGGCATTGTGTCTGAAATAATTTACACTGGGTTTTAATAGCGTAGACACTGCCCGTGCCGCACCAAGTGTGGTGACTAACATATGGCATTATCTCAACGTGAAATCTCGTGGGATATAAGCGGTCAATGTCAATGGTCAAGTAAGCTTAACAATGAGACATTAAATAGCCTCTTAAAGCAAAGGAAATTATAGTCTGTAACACGAAGCACCACATTATGACTTATGATGAGATCATTATTACACCTTGAATGCGATCGTTTATATAAATCAATCCAGTTTTTTTGTTACTTTCAAAAGGAGTCATCATTCGTATTATTAGAGATGCAATTGGGGTCAGTTTTTGCCGGGGTCAAGTAGTGCCGTTAACGCCGTGACACGAAAGAAGTATTATTTCGCTTCCATCATTTTGTAAGACGTGATTACATAAGACCCTTTTCTGCTAGCCCTTTTCCACCTTCATGAAACCAGACGTTTAGCGTGCCAGCCCTATCGCGTTGTGACACCTGCCTACACAGAACGTTTTCCTAACTCTATTCTGTTGCGAATAGCTAGATATTGAAACTCGATACCTGCCGATGTTATTCCGAGAACGAAAGTTCCATTTGAAACTTTCCACCACCCTTCTGCTAATAACGAGATTGCAGTCAAATAAAAATAAACTTTCGTCTTCATCTTTAAAACAATAATAACACGTCACCAACAGCTCGATGTCATCAAAACAACGAAACAAAAAATATTTTCTCATCTAATCTTCTTTTTCGCAACCATAAAATTGATTTGTATATCATCAGTGTGTTTGAAGAGACCTATTAGTGCTTGTCTATCTATAATGACTGACTTTATGTTGTGGTCAGCCAGTTGCCGATGGCAACCCCTATTATCTGTGATTAATTATTAATGCAAGTTAATAGAAACCAGTTACCTATATCACGTTTCCTGTAGTTTGATAAGTATAGGTTTTAATACTTCAAACTAGTTATAATTATAATGATACTGAGGAACCATCATAAAGACATGCATAGAAAGTGCGGTGGAAAGGTGCACCTTTACAGAAGAAAAGGTATCTTAGTAAAATTATTAAATAAACACACACTACTGCCCCCGGCTTCGCTAAATTTCTGTCCGACAGTAATCTTACGCATACCACAGTTAAAAGTATTTTTTTCTTTAAAAAAAAATCTAACCAAAATTACATAAATAATTTTCATATCCATAACGGCCATCCATAAAAAGAATTGCAACAAAAATTCTGCAAATCCCAACCTATTTCTAGATACCAATATTAATCGGAATTTTAATACAGCTTATTAATGTAACAAGTGAACATACAGCGCTTCTTTCGCATAATAAATAATAAAGTATCAGATCCTCTTCTACCCTGGATGGAATTTAATACAAGCCTCTCTATTAATAACAGCTTCTAAGTTCACTAATCTCAATCAGATTATTAAGAGATTATTAAAACAAGTATTATATTTCACACACGTCACTCTTCATTACCAATGTGTAATTGGTGCCTAGATGCACTAAACATTGATTAATCATTATTGATATTGTACTTGCATAAAAGTTAATTATGTAAATGAAAATGAATGTTTTAGTGTTCTAAAAAACTTAGTTAAGAGACAAAGGTATGCAAATGACGGACATTAGTTTTATTTCCAAGTAGAATTCAAACCAATAGTTTCTGTACAAATACAGTATTCTGGGGGCAACTATTTAATCCAGGAATGATTTGATTGTTTGTTTGTATTGAATAGGCTCCGAAACTACTGGACCGATTCGAAGTCTTTCACAGTTACAATCCTACATTATTACTGAAGAAAGAATATAGGCGAGGTACGAAGTTCGCCGAGTGAAGGACTGAATTAGTACCTATGATTAACGACTAGCGAAAATAATGTATCGCGTGAAAGTAAATAAGAAAATGCGAGTGATAAGGGACAACGGTCTCTAGACAATAATCACACTTGTCACTCGTTGGAGTGAGAGGCAGAGGTATAATTAGTCTCCAAGCAGATGGATGAGGGTTAGGCTTTAATTATCAAGTAGGCGTTGAAGTATACTGCCGTCTGATACATTACAATACATAAGTAACTTTATGACATAGACGGAATACTGAGAAATGAAGAAGAGTATATTATCAAAGTTTGCTTATCATTTATTTAAGAGCGTTGTCACATTTTTCATGCAGAAATCGAGAATTTGGCAGATTTCGAAATGATTTTAGTCATATAATTTATTGTTATAGCATCTTTTGACTTATATCATCGTAATTATCATACGTTTTTACGGAATGTCTATTGACAAAATCTCGTTCAAATTGGATTTTTGCCTACGAAAACAGCGAATTTCGAAAGCCCGATTTCCAGGTAACTCGCGAAGGCACAACTTTGAACTAATATTACAACAAATTTATTTCTAAGTAAGAAGATAGAATGTATTCATTAGAATAAGCATACCCTGAAGAAGAAAGTGTATTGAGAAAATTTTGATGTTTAATTCATTAAAATGCAAACCCATCAACTTATTACTTTACTCAATTTAAAGATTAAAAACTTGTCGCGGGATTTACTAGTGTAAAAAATACATTAATTACGTAACTTGATTTTGCTAAAAGTCTGATCTGAGAAAAAAATCAAATAGGTAAATTATACATTATTTCTTTATAATTATGTATGATGTACTGTCTTAGGTACGATACAACTACGGATTAAGATCGTTTAGTCGACGCAGCGTTGAAATTGTACAGATAAATGCAGTTTGCGCACTCACTACGCGACGTCAAGCAATAAAAACCTAAAATTCGAACGCCAACTTTTTGCTACAACGCTCTTAAGCCACTCAGGGTGAAGTTAAGATTTGAGACTTATTAAAGCATTATTTAATGAACTAACGGCCGCCCGCGACTTCGTACGCGTGGATCTCGTTTTACTCCCTTCATCTATCCTACGCGGTTTAGATTTTTTCATATAAATGTTTTTTCCCGCTAACTCCCGTTCCCGTGGGAATTTTGCAATATCCTGTTGTAACTAAGCTTTAAGTTTACTAAGGTACCTGCATGCCAAATTTCAAGCATCTAACTTAAGCGGTTTAGATTTTTCATACAAAAGGATTTTCCCACTAATTCCCGTTCCCGTGGCAATTCCTAAGTATACTATAACCTGCCCAGGAGTATGAAGAATAATTGTACCAAGTTTCGTTAAAATCCGTCGAGTAGTTTTTGTTTCTATAAGGAACAGACAGACAGACAAAAATGTGACTGATTGCATTTTTGGCATCAGTATCGATCTAATCGCCCCCTGATAGTTATTTTGAAAATATATTTCATGTACAGAATTGACCTCTCTACAGATTTATTATAAGTAGATATAGATTAATGTATGAAACACTATTAATTTAGTAGCAATTTGTGCAGATTAGATTAGATTATTCGTAAGTGTGAATTTTCTAACGCCTCTACATCACGCATTGTATCGCGTGAGCTACAATATTCGAGCTTAAAGTTAGAAGTGTCTGACTGATGTTCTGGCACAACCGATTCACATAACACGCAAGCCTATCTCCATTCTTATAAACTACCTCCCTGCATGATAAATCTTTTTTACGGGAACCTCTCGTTCCCACCGCTGCAACTCCTGTGTAGCTAGGATCTACAGCTTGAACGCCTTTAAAAATTCACCCAGAGAACCGAATATAGTCAAGTCAAGGGTACAGTGACTACAGTGAAGGCGGATCACTCTCGAACTCGATATCATTCACGGAAATGAAAACCGAATGTTTTTTTTTTTTCATTTCTTTTTTCAATCTTCATCAATATTCAAAATTTTACAGCTTTTCATAATGTAAGGTATTTGCTTTGTGGTAGAGCCATACTACAGAGTTTAATTTATTAGTTCAACAGTTTGTTAATTTCTCAAGTCTGGGAAAATCGTTACTTTTCCTGAAAGAAATTCACTTATTTTTCTACTGAAAAGTATAGTTTGAATGAATCACTCTTCATTTGAATGTTAGTGTAAGTATATTTCAGTTAGTGCCTACACCTTTGCCTATTTTGATAGTCACGATAAATAACATCAATAACCCTAACAAATGAGTGAATATTTTCCCTTTGCGAGACCATCCTTTGTTGGAACTGGCGCCACTCATCCATCTTGCTAATGTTGTCTAATGTGTTCCTGTCAATCCGTATGAATGTGTCTTTCACGTCATTATTATTCGGTAAAACAATATCGCTATCTGATACGATAAAGGAGAATGAGCGGTAAACAAAGGTGTCTCGGGTCACGACATGATGGTGACGCTTGAGGCAACAGGCTAATGTCACACTACGTTGCTATTTGATATAAGGGATAAACTATGCTACTTGTATACTATGATTTGTGTACGGCATCTCAACTTTAAAGATACTTGAGTCAATCAGCTAATTCACACGGCTACCCGCAGGGGTGTAGAAAAATTACATGCTATGAAGCTGAAGCGAAGGCGATCACTTTTAAAAATTAATTTTGAATTGAAGTCTAAAAATAAAAAGGTTCATAAGTGGCTCTCTACACGTTTCCTTATCTTTTGGGTCCTACTACCAGGTGCTGTGCGGCAT